TCAGACAAAAAAAATCACAGAGTATAAGATGGAAAATAAGAGATAAAGATGAAAATAGCATAGGAATAAATATTTCACTAGAAATTGAAATTTATTATGTTTGGTGAGAGAGTAAGAAAGTCTTGATCTTTAATTTCCTGTTTTGGTTGTGATCGTGTGTGTAAATTCTGATAACCATTAACTTTTTCCAAACTAATGTCTGAAAGCCTCATAAAATTAACCCAAATATTTACCTTATCAAGGCAACCTATGAAGCTTTCATAAGGTCTTCCTATGTCAAGGGTATGTATATTATGAAAGTAAAGCCTCCCAGAGCTAAATAAATCCCTTCCATACCTGTAATGATTTCAAGAATGCTTTAAAGAAGTCATCCTTAATAGTAAGGTTGGCTCATGAGCAAGACAGTGGGATTATTGTTGAGTATATTTCTATTATTTGCCCAACTACTGTGGGTTAACCTTTATTTTCTGTGTTTCTCTTGTAAATTCTGTACTGTGGCCTAGTATAAGTGTTGCCCAACACAAATAATAGACAAGAGATTTGGGTTTGATGTTAGCAATAAGCTATTCTGTTAATTTGTGAAAAATACATGATTTACCATTATTTTGATTTGAAGATTATTTTGGGAACGATTTAAGTATTAGCACCCCTCTCTGCCTTAACTTTCTGATTTCAGTAAAAGAAAGTCTTTGGCCATTTATTTTGCCTTCAGAAACAGTGGATTCAGGTAATGAAGAGTAGTTTGGGTTACTTCTGTGGGTCAATTAGGGCCAAATACTGCAACTGGGGTGTATATGTGAAGTCAGTATTCACTATAGCTGTTGCCATTCAAGCCAAAGGAAAAAATAGCGCTTTTATAGGATTTGTGAGTACAGATATTACATAAAAGGCATGTCAGTGGGTATTGCTGCTACAAGATGCACTCCCAAGAAGGACATTGTTATAGAAAGAATTCTAACTAGTCTTAAAGTTAAATAGCCTGTATTTTCACATAGAGTTTAAGTACTTAAATGTATGTAACCATCAGCAAATTGCTTAATTTGTCCAAGTATCAGCTTTCCTCTCCAGTACTATGCAATGTGATAGGTAAGATCAAATTAATTAGCAATCGATTTATAATCAATCACCTCAAAAGTTAAGTGGCTAAAAACAATAATAATTAATAATTCATGGTTTTTCTTGGTCAGGAATTGAGAAGCAGCTTCCCTGGGCAGTTCTGACTTTTCCATGAGGCTTCCATCAGATATTATCTGGGGCTGCAGTAATTTGAAAGTCTGGCTGGAGCTTGATCACCTCTAAGGTGGCTTACTCATGGCAAGCAAATTGATGCTGGCTGTTGGTAGGAGACCTCAGTTCCTTTTCACATAGGCCTCTCCAAAGAACTGCCTGAATAAATTTAATGATGTGACTGTCCTTCCCCAGAGCAAATGAATTAAGTACGCAAGTGAGAAGCAGTAATGCCTTTTATGATCTCGTCTCAGAAATCATACCCCACATTCTGCCATATTCAATTAATCACTCAGAACAGCTTGTTTAATTGTGGGAGAAGTACATTAATGCCAGAAGGCAGGGTTGGGGCTGTGGCTCAGAAGTAGAGTGCTCGCCTATCATGCATAAGGCACTGGGTTCGATCCCCAGCACCACATACAAATATGTGTCCACCTATGTCTAAAAAAATAAATATTTAAAAAAAATGCCAGAAGGCAAAGATCATTATGGCCTTGAAATCTGGCTAAATCACATGTATAGAAGTACTTTTTAAAAATACTAATTTTAAAAAATATTTTTAGTTGTAGATGGGCACAATACCTTTATTTTTATATATTTTTTAAATTTTTATGTGGTGCTGAGGATCGAACCCAGCACCTCACACCGGCTAGGCAAGCGCTGTATCATTAAGCCTCAATCTCAGCCTCTTTTGTTTTATTAATTTGTTTTTATATGGTGCTGAGGATCAAACCCAGTGCCTCACAAATGATAGGTGAGTGCTCTACTACTGAGCTACAACCCCAGCCTATAGAAGTACTTTGTAAGCTAAAATGCTATGCAGATATTTAATGGTTTTATATACACAACCTTATTTCTGAAGAATATCGTTTAACTGCTTTAGTTACCTTATTCGAAAATGTTCTAAGCTAGTCATTTAGTGTTTCAATGTGTGCTTAGCATGTGTGAGGCCCTTGGTTTTATTTATTTTTATTTTTTTGATACCAGGGATTTAACCTAGGGGTACTTAAACACTGAGCCACAGCCACAGACCATTTTTTTTTTTTTTCAGACAGGGTCTTGCTAAGTTACAGAGACTAGCCTCAAACTTGCAATCCTCCTGCCTGAGCCTCCCAAGTCATTGGGATTACAGACATGTGCCACCATGCCCATCAAAGCCTTGCATTTTATAAATAAATAAGTCTGAAGATATCAGCCAGTAAATGGATGGAACTGAATACTATCATGGTAACTGAAATAAGTCAATCTCAAAAAAACAAAGTCTGAATGTTTTCTCTGATATGGGGAAGCTAATCCAAAATAGGAAGAGGGATTAAAAAAAAGAAGAAAGATCAATGGAGTAGATGAAGGGAAATAAAAGGGAGGAGGACAAATGGGATAGGGAAAGAACAGTGGAATGAATCTGACCTAACTTTCCTATGTACATTTATGAATATACCATAGTGAATCTCACCATCATGTATATCCACAAGCTACTAATTTAAAAAAAAGTCTACAAATAAGAAAGATCAGTGGTAAAGGGAAAGGAACAGGGGGGTGAAGAGGGGAGGTTAAGGGGAAGTACTGGGGAATGAATTAGAACAAATTATATTCCATGCTTTTATAATTATGTCACAATGAACCCTAATGTTATGTATAAGTAAAAAACCAATAAAATAAAAATTAAAAAATAATAAAAGGGCTTAGTGATAATGTGCCCCTGGGTTTAATCTCTAGTACCTATGCTGCCCCCTGCACAAAAAAAAAAAAAAAAGTGGTAAAGATGGTGTGTTTCTGTAATGTATGAGACCCAAGTAGTGAGTAGTGACAAAGGGCTGAAAGATAATAATAGTAATGGTGAACATAAACCGGCTTTACAAATGTGAAGTCATTTAAGTCTTGCAGTAATCCTGTTACAGAGGAGGAAACTAACTTCAGATTAAGTTCAGATAATAATTTGCTTAAGTCATCTAGTGACTGAATACCGGTGGGTTAGTATTCAAAATCAGGCAGTCTGGTTCAAGAGCAAAAACTGAAATATGCTACACTAAATTTGTCTAGATTACTGGCCTTAGAATTCTGCCATCTTCAACATATCTTTGAAAATTAGGATTCTCAACTCTTAGAAACATCTAATGTAAAGAAAAGGGATATTTGGGCTGGGGACATAGCTCAGTTGGTAGAGTACTTGCCTCGAATGCACAAGGCTCTGGGTTCAACCCCCAGCACCACACATAAACTAAAAAGAAAAAAAAAGAGGAAAAGGGGTAACATTTCCATGTTGACAGCTGTTTCAGCTCAGACTATTGGAATCTGCCACCCCGCCTTCCTAACCATATCTAGCTTGTCAGCAAATCCCTATTGCCTGGAAGCTAAACTGGTACTACCCTAGTAGAGCCCTCTGGATTACAGCAATAATTCACCAGCAGTCTTTCTTGCCCCTCTAAATCTAGAGGTGTAGTCTCCAGAAACAGCCAGAATCAAACTTTGTTTTGTGGTACTGGGGATTGAACCCCAGCCGTTCAAGATTATTTATTTATTTAGTAACTATTTATGACAGAGTCTCGATAAATTGCAAGACGCTAGCCTCGAATTTGAGATCTCTCTGCTTCGGTATCTCCGAGTAGCTGGGATTACAGGCTTGCGCCACCATTCCAAAACATAGTCTGATTACATCACTTGGCTGCCCAATTCCTCCAGTGCCTTTTCAATAAGGTCCTTATACCACCCTATTTAAAACTGCAACGCCCCCATCACTCTCCCCATTCTCTCTTATATTTATAGCACTTATCATTGTGCATTATAATACTCGACTTTTTTTTTTTTTTTAAATCTCCTCCCTTTAGAAGATGGGGATTTTTGTTTTGTTACCTGCTGATTACAGTTAACTACCCCCCCCCCGCCCCCGGGGGCGGGTACTAAGGATTGAAATCAGGGAACTCGACCACTGAGCCACATCTTCAGCATTTTGTATTTTATTTAGAGACAGGGTCTCACTGAGTTGCTTAGCGCCTTGCTTTTGCTGAGGCTAGCTTTGAATTCTGGATCCTCTCAAGCTGCTGGGATTACTGGCCTACGCCATCGCACCGGTCACAGCTAACTCTTACTCGCTTAGTTACTATACCTAAACTTTCTCCTTTCATTTAACCCTCACAACCGCCTATGATGTAGTCGATTTTCCATTTTAGAGTAGAGGACCAGAAGCTGTTTCAGTACCGTTGGATTTTGTTTCCCTGAGCCTGTTTCTTCATAACGGGACTGATTTAGTTGTTGATTAGCTTTTAAGAATTTGGCACTCATCTTAACAAGAGATTTCAAGGTTTGGCGTCCATGGCAACCGTGGCGCCAGGACGCGCTCGAGCATGAACTAGAAAGCGAGATAAGGTAAAGGTCTAGTCTTCCATAATCATGCACACCCACCAAATCCTGAATTTCGTATCAGAACGTTGATTTGTCCTTGGTAGTGAAAAAAATATATATATCCAAGTTAAAACGGTAACAGGATGATAAAACAGTCACTGAAAACACTCCGCTTTCCGCACCAACAGGAATCACATGACCAGGGAAGGCGAAGGCTACAGTCCCGGGTTAGCTTAGCTTTGGTAGGGGCTGGCTGTGCCCGGGCCCCTTTAACAGCAACACCGCTCACCCCGGAAGTGGGGGCGGAGCTAATAGGCGTCAGCGCCCAGCGAACGGAAGTGGCTGTTGGACGCTTTCAGGTAGCTTTAAATTCCTGCTGTCTTGAACGCTTGTCCCTTTCCACCAGAGTCAGGCTTCGAGCGCCTGATGGCTTTAGACGTGAAGTCTCGAGCAAAGCGCTATGAGAAACTGGACTTCCTTGGGGAGGGACAGGTGAGGCTCTGGGACTGGATTGGGAGGACCCCGAGCGGGGAGCATCGCGGCGCCTCACAGATTTGCAGGTTTTCTTGTGGAAGCTCGTTCTTCTTGGGTGGGGGCAGGCAGCGCACACTCTCCTGTTGCCCATTGATCCTATCGACATCCTGGAAGTGAACCCTGAGGCGCGGTCCTTCTGAAGAACTGGCTGGAGCGGGACTCGGATTGCCCGACCACATTCCAAGCCGCCGCGAGTCCTTTCAGAACCCTGGGTTCTTTAGTTCCCCAAATGTAAAAAAAGAAAAAAAAGGCAAACAAACTTAACGTTATTCCCGTTTTTCTTTATAGTTTGCCACGGTTTATAAGGCCAGAGATAAGAACACCAACCAAATAGTCGCCATTAAGAAAGTAAGTTGTCTTTTATGTTGTTTTTTTCCTTCAAGTCTCCTTCAAGGTGTCTGTATTATGAATTGATTGGTGGCCATTTTACTACTCTTGATGGTACTCTGAAAAATCAGAAGTTACTCATGTTATTTCCAGAGAAAATAGCATTAATTAGTGCCTTGTGTTCCAAGGAGGGAACTATGGAATCGAACCAGTCTTTGTTCCATTAATTTAAATTAAAGTGAAACGAAGAGGAAGCTGTATGTTATTTTTGCTGCATGAACTCGGATATTGACTAAAGGGGCAGGTACTGCCCATCTGTTCAGTCTTCAAAACTTTCTTTTTAGGTCACAGTTCTGTCCTATCTGCATCCACATTCTGTGTGCATATTTATAATTTCTTTGTACAGATTTACATGAAAGGTTTTCAGTAGCATTAACAACACGAATGTAGCCAGCTGCAGTGACCCATGTCTTTAATCCCAGAGACTTGGGAGGCTGAGGCAGGAGGATGTAATTTCCATACTAACCTCAGCAACCCTGTCTCAAAATAAAAATAAAGAAGGCCCGGAGTGGCAGCTCAGTGGTTCATTTCCCGGTACCAGAAAACAAACAAAAAACCTAATGTGGTGCATTTTCTAAAAGGACTTAAACTGTTTTTAAACTTAGATTCATTTAAAAGACTTATTCATAAGTAGCTAACATTTCTGTATGCTAGGCACTTTGACCTACACTTTTTTCACTTACCCCTCCAAACAGCTTGTAAAAATAGTTAAAAGAATTCCTATTTTGCACTCAGAAATTGAGACTGAGAAAGGTTAGTTAAGTGACTTGTCAAGAATACAAAGCTAGTAATTGCTGAAGTTAGGATTTGAATTCAGGTGTCCTGATGTGAGCCAGGTTGGTTGCTTTTCCTCATGCTATTGAAATTGATAACACTTTTAAGGAGAGACTGTTTGTCTCACCTGTCTCAGGGCCTGGTAGTGGAGTAAGTTACCTCTATGTGCTTTTGTTCTGTTGCTACTTTGAATTTGTTCTTCAAAAACCCTAACTTCTTTGAAGTGTATCATCAGGCTTTCATTTCCAGCCTCCCCCACACTCTTATTCACTTAATACCTGGCTTTCTTTCTTTTTTTATCTTAGTTATTCCTGCCATCCTTATGTTTGCTGTATTATTATTTACTTTTCTGATATCCTTGTTTTCCAGCTTATGTTTTGTGATCCATCATTATGGCCACTCCCTTGCAAAATCCTCAACTCTTCTGACTTCCTTGTCATCTTTCAGTTCTAGTGCTTTGTTCCCCATCTCACCAACTTTCTTTCTGTTCCTCGGACCCCGTAAATTCATTTCATTCCCAAGATTATTGCATTTGCTTTGCCTTCTGGTTGTTTCTTTATAGAACTTGAAGTGGCTGATTGCTTATTAAGGTTTCACTCAGATGTGTACTCCACATAGAGGCCTTCTGTGTTCATTCCAGATAAAATAGGTATGCATCCTTCCTTCTCTGTTGTCTTTGCATTTGTTCCTTCTCATCTTCATGATATTTATCAAAATTGAAATTCTCTTACCTGAGTTTATTGTCTGTTTAATTCCATTCACATTATAGCTAGGACTATGGCAAGCATATTATAGGCAACTCTTTATGGGGCTGGGATTGTGCTTGACGATAGAGCATGGCCTAGCACGTGTGAGGTGCTGGGTTCAATTCTCAGGCCCTTATAAAATAAAGGTATTGTGTCTATCTACAACTTAAAAAAAAAACAAAAGGTATCGAATTAGCTGGGTGTGGTGGTGTGTGTTTATGTTCCTAACACAGGGGAGGTGGAGGCGGAGGCAGGGGGATCACCTGAGTCCAGGAGTTTGAGGCTAACCTATAGAACATGACAAGAGTCTGTCTCAGAAACAAAAAGGATATTGACTTGACTGGTACTGTTGGCATATTGAGTTCTGTAGTTTTCTGAAAGTCCAAGTGTGTGTGTGTGTGTGTGTGTGTGTGTGTGTGTGTGTGTGTTTAAATATCTTTAGTTGTAGATGGACACAATACCTGTATTTTATTTATTTTTATGTGGTGCTGAGGATCGACCTTGGCGCCTAATACGGTAGGCAAGTACTCTACCACTGAGCTACAGCCCCAGCCCCCAAATGTTTTCTGTTGCTTGTTTTTAGTGTTAATTAGGACTTAAAATCCAGCCTTTTTCTCTGTGGTAGACTTTTTCCCCCTTAAAGATAGTTTAAATTATATTTAGTTTTTTATTAAATTATTTATTCTAATTTATTATATATGATGGCAGAATGCAATTCATTTCATATTACACATAGAGCACAATTTTTCAAGTCATTGGTTGTACACAAAGTATTTTCATACCATTCGTGTCTTCATACATGTACTTATATATTTAGTTTTTATTTTATTTCAAATGATATATTTTTATGGTTTTAAAGTCAGTTAATAGGCCAAGGCTTTTAACATGCCTAACTCCTCTACCCCTGGTTTTCATTCTTCAGAGCAACCACTTTCTTTTTATTTTTTTATTTTTGGTACCAGGGATAGAACTCAAGGGCACTCGACCACTGAGCCACATCGCCAGCTCAAATTTTGTATTTTATTTAGAGATGATCTCAACTGAGTTCCTTAGTGCCTTGCCATTGCTGAGGCTGTCTTTAAACTTGAAATCCTCCTGTCTCAGCCTCCTGAGCTGCTGGGATTACAGGCATGCGTGTCCATTAAAAAAAAAATAAAATACATAGGTGTTTTTTTTTTTGGTTTTTTTTTTTGAGTGTTGTATGTGTGTTTTGTTTGTTTCCCCAATTTTAGGCATTATTTTTACTTTCTACTATGAATATGGAGGATTTGGTGCTTTGGACCTTCCTGTTCCAACACTCCTAATTTCTATTCCCATTCTTTTGTTAAAATGCATATTTAAGTTTACAAAAAAAGAAATCATTAAAGAAGCTACTCTTTACCCTCTTTTACCCTTTTACCTAATGGGTCTTGGACTTTTAAAAATCATTGATCTTCCTCATTCTTTTAAAAAGATCATATTGGGGCTAGAAGTTTAGCTTTGGGGTAGAACAGTGCTCATTATGCCCTAGTGGGTTCAATCCTCAGGACCAAAAGAAGATCATATTGAATTTGTTTCCCATATTTCCTAATTTAGTCAGTCCCCTAGTGAGCATTTTGGGTCAGTTTTCTTTTTTCAGTATTGGTCCAAAATAGATGTATGTCAGTTCAATATATAATGTTTGCATGCTTTTAAGCTATATATATATATATATATGTATACACACACACACACACACACATAGACCTACACATATTTATTTAATATATATTCTTTTATAATTTTCTGAATCAATATCATGAAATTTTCTATATTGAGATATATATATATATATCATGGTTTATTCATACTCATTGATTAGATTCCATTATATGTAACTCTACAGATTTTTTTTTTCTTTGTGGTTCTGGGGAATGAACCCTGGGCACTATACCACTAAGCTATATTCCCAGCCCTATTTTGTATTTGACTTAGAGAGAGGGTCTCAACTGAGTTGCTTAGTGCCTCGCTAAGTTGGTAAGGCTGGCTTTGAACTCAAAGATCCTCGTGTCTCAACCTCCCAAGCCACTGGGATTATAGGCATGCACCACCAAGCCTGGCAGTCTTTTTTTTTATTTTGAGGCAGAATCTTGCTAAATTGCTGAACCTGGCTTCAAACTTTCTTTTATTTTTAAAAATTTGTTCTTATTTATACATGATAGTAGAATGTATTTTGACACATTATACATATGTGGAGTATAACTTCTCATTCTTCTGGTTTCCTGTTTGTATATGATGAGGCCTCAAACTTTCTACCCTTCTGCCTCATCCTCCCAAGAGGCTGGGATTACAAAGGTGTGCTATACTGAAATTTTCAAACTCTGTTGATAATAGCCCTTTTATTGACAATCTGGTTTGTTTGTTTGTTTGGTACCAGGAATCGAACCCAAGGGTGCTTATTAACCATTAAGCCACATCCCCAGCCCTTTAATTTTTTTTTTTTTTTTTGAGACAGGTTCTCACTAGGTTGCTTATAAGCCTTGCCAAATTGCTGAGGTTGGCTTTGAAACTGTGATCATACTGCCTCAGCCTTCTGAGCTGCTGGGATTACAGGTGTGTGCCACCATACTTGGCTCTATGAATAGTCTTTATGAATCATCTTGTATGCATATTTTAGCTTCTTTAGAGAATGTATCTATATTTGAGACCAATTATGAATTTTTGTTTCAGAATATTAACAACATCATCTTCACCAGATAAGGTCAAGTTGCTCTCTGACATGTCTGGATTAAGTTTACCTTCCACCATACTTTCAACATATTTGTATTGTCATTCATTAAGACATTTTGTCATTTAGATGAGTTGAAATGGAATGTTTGTTGTTTCAGTTAATGTTTTTTTGTTTACTAGTGAGTTTCATCTTAGAATTTTTGACTTAGGTTTTTTTCCCCTGTTTGTTTTTCTTTGGGATGCTTATGGGGTGTATGTGTGTGTTACTGGGGATTGAACTCAGAGCCCTCACAAATGCCAGGCAAACCTCTGTGCTCTGTCTGTATTACATCCTCAGCACAGGTTGCTTAAATTTTTTTCTTTGTGTTAATTTGTTGAAATTTATTATATATTCTGAATATTGATCCTTAGAAATATACATTGCAGTTAACATCTTCCAGTTTTTAGCTAAGCTTTAGTTTATTTAAGGTTTTTTTTTTTTTAAACTGGGGGTTGAACTCAGGAACACTCGACCACTGAGCCACATCCTCAGCCCTTTTTTGTATTTTATCTAGAGATAGGGTCTCATTGAGTTGTTTAGCACCTTACTTTTTGCTGAGGCTGGCTTTGAACTCGAGATCATCCTGCCTCAGCCCTCTTGGGCTGTGGGGATTACAGGCACGCATCACCGAATCGGGCTACTTGTGATATCTTTTAAGGTATTTAAGTTAACATGGTTGAATTTGTCAGTTTTTTCCTTTGTAGGTTCCCTTTTTGTGTACTCTCCTATTTCCTATATAAGAACATTCCTACAAGGAATTTTCCTATGGAATTTTAAAGTATTCATTTTAACATTTAGGTCTTTATTCCATCTGTAACTTCTCTGTATTATGTGATGGGGGGATCTAATATTTTCCCCCGCTATCCTAACACTATTGATTGCCTGTTCTTTTACCCCATACACTTGTTATGCCAAGTTCCAGTATATACTTGGATCCATTTCTAAGCATGCTATTTTGTTCTAGTGACTGATTTTCCCCCCATTATCTGCTGAAGTACTACAGTATTTTTAATTATTTTTACTTTATAATAAGTCTTGAAAATTTTAAAGTCTCATACATGTTGTTTTTTCTTCAAAATTGTCTTGACTACTGTATAATCTAATTGGGAAATTTGAAATAGGAAAATTTGTATAGGAATTAGGTATTAGGTGCTTCTGTGCCAATATTGTTAATTATGTTAAATTTGAAAATGGCTTTATGGGCTGGGGGTATGGCTCAAGCGGTAGCGCGCTCACCTGGCATGTGTGCGGCCCGGGTTCAGTCCTCAGCACCACATACAAACAAAAGATGTTGTGTCTGCCGAGAACTAAAAAATAAATATTAAAAATAAATTCTCTCTCTCTCTCTCTCCTTAAAAAAAAAAAAAAAGAAAATGGCTTTATGGTTATATAAGAATGTCCATGTTTTAGAGTTGTTTACTTAATTGTATAAGGGTAAAATGACACAAAGACTTGGATTTTCTTTTAAGTATTTTAGCCAGCAAAAGAGGAAAGGATGCATGAATGAAGTAAATTGTAGCAAAATATTAGTTATTTTTGAATCTGGATGATGAAGTAGAAAACTTCATGAGATTAGTTTTTAAAATGTTTAATAGTTTAGGGCTGTGGCTCAGTGGTAGAGCACTTGCCTAGCATGTGTGAGGCACTGGATTTGATTCTCAGCACTGCATGTAAGTAATTAAATAAATAAAATAAAGTTCCATCAACAACTAATAAAAAAATTTTTTTTTTTAAATTTTTTATTGTGGGTTGTTCAAAACATTACAAATTTCTTGACATATCATATTCCACACTTTGATTCAAGTGGGTTATGAACTCCCACCTTCACCCCATACACAGATTGCAGAATCACATCAGTTACACATCCATTGATTTACATATTGCCATACTAGTGTCTGTTGTGCTCCGCTGCCTTTCCCATCCTCCACCCTCCCCCCTCCCCACCTCTCCCCTCCCCTCCCCTCCTCTCTCTCTACCCCCTCCACTGTATAACCCTGAGGGTCTCCTTCCATTACCATGCAATTTCCCTTCTCTCTCCCTTTCCCTCCCACTTCTCATCCCTGTTAAATGTTAATCTTCTTCTCCTGCTCTTCGTCCCTACTCTGATCTTAGTTACTCTCCTTATATCAAAGAAGACATTTGGCATTTGTTTTTTAGGGATTGGCTAGCTTCACTTAGCATAATCTGCTCTAATGCCATCCATTTCCCTGTAAATTCTATGATTTTGTCATTTTTTAATGCAGAGTAATACTCCATTGTGTATAAATGCCACATTTTTTTAATCCATTCATCTATTGAAGGGCATCTAGGTTGGTTCCACAGTCTTGCTATTGTGAACTGTGCTGCTATGAACATCGATGTAGCAGTGTCCCTGTAGCATGCTCTTTTTAGGTCTTTAGGGAATAGACCAAGAAGGGGAATAGCTGGGTCAAATGGTGGCTCCATTCCCAGCTTTCCAAGAAATCTCCATACTGCTTTCCAAATTGGCTGCACCAATCTGCAGTCCCACCAGCAATGTACAAGTGTACCCTTTTCCCCACATCCTCGCCAGCACTTGTTGTTGTTTGACTTCATAATGACTGCCAATCTAACTGGAGTGAGATGGTATCTTAGGGTGGTTTTGATTTGCATTTCTCTGACTGCTAGAGATGGTGAGCATTTTTTCATGTACTTGTTGATTGATTGTATGTCCTCCTCTGAGAAGTGTCTGTTCAGGTCCTTGGCCCATTTGTTGATTGGGTTGTTTGTTCTCTTATTGTCTAATTTTTTGAGTTCTTTGTATACTCTGGATATTAGGGCTCTATCTGAAGTGTGAGGAGTAAAGATTTGTTCCCAGGATGTAGGCTCTCTATTTACCTCTCTTATTGTTTCTTTTGCTGAGAAAAAACTTTTTAGTTTGAGTAAGTCCCATTTGTTGATTCTAGTTATTAACTTTTGTGCTATGGGTGTCCTATTGAGGAATTCCTGTATATCAGCGACAAATCCTCTGAAATGGAAATGAGGACAACCACTCCATTCAAAATATCTTCAAAAAAAAATAAAAAAATTTTTTAAAAAATGTTTAATAAGGGCTGGGGTTGTGGCTCAGTGGTAGAGTACTTGCCTAGCATGTGTGAGGCACTGGGTTCGATCCCCGGCACCACATAAAAACAAAAACAAATAAATAAAGGTATTGTGTCCATCTACAGCTAAAAAAATTTTTTTTAAAAAAAGTTGTTTATTAATAAACCAAGAGAGATTAAAAAAAGTGTTTAATAGGTTAAGTGTTTAGTCTGCATAATTATCTAATTTTAATATTTGTGTTTGTGTTTTCTATATTAGATCAAACTTGGACATAGATCAGAAGCTAAAGATGGTAAGTATTTCAAATAATCTGACAAATTAGGAAATGTTCTTACTCTTACTTAGGAAATAATCAAATTATTATTAAGATTTAGCAGTGGTTTTGGATAGAGTTTTTGTAGTGTTCCTCCCCAAATAAAGATAGACTTAGGACAGAGAGAGGACATTTGATGATTTTCACTATTTGAGTGTTCAGAGGAACATTCAAATACTTAAGTAAATGGAAGGCAGCAAGTTGCCTTGTCTTGCTGTCCTCATTACTGTTTTAGGTATTAGAAGCATTGTTTTTTCTATTTCTGAGCTTCTAATTACTTTGAAAATTGAGGGGTTGGGGATGTGCCTCAGTGATAGAGCACCTACCTCACATGTGTTGGAGCACTGGGTTTGATACTCAGCATCATATATGAATAAATAAAATAAATAAAGGCATCGTGTCCATCTACAACTAAAAATTTTAAAAATGTTTAAAAAATTAAGGCTACATCTTCATGGAAATACACAAAGTTCGCTACAAAATGCATACACGGAGAAAAGATTTCTTTTATGTTTCTATGTTGATCTTTATATTGCATAGATGTCTTTAAAATTTTTCTAATTAGTTATACATAACAGAATGCATTTTAACACATCATACATAAATGGAGTATAACTTCTCGTTTGTCTGTACATGATTTAGAGTTACACAGGTCATGTATCATATATACACAGAGGATAATAATGTCTGATTCATTCTACTGTTATTCCTACCTCCATGCCCCTTTTGCTCTCTTCACTCCCCTTTGTCTAGTCCAAAATACCTCTATTCTTCCCCTTCCCCACTTATTGTGAATTAGCATCTGCATGTCAGAGAAAACATTTGGCCTTTTGTTCTTGGCTTATTTCATTTAACATATTATTCTCTGTTTCCATCTATTGACTGGCAAATGCCATAATTTTATTATTCTTTAAGGCTGAATAATATTCCATTGTGTATATATACCACAGTTTCCTTACCCCTACCTCTGTTGAAGGACACCAAGTTGGTTCCATATTTTAGCTATTCGAAATTGAGATGCTATAAACGTTGATGTGGCTGCATCAATGTAGTATGCTGATTTTAAATCCTTTGGGTATAAACCTAGGAGTGGGATGACTAGGTCAAATGATGGTAACATTCCAAGTTTTCTGAGGAATCTCCACACTGCTTTCCATAGTGCGCGGATTTGCAGTCTTGTCAGTAAGAGTGTACCTTCCTCCCCTACATCTTCACCAGCATTTATTGCTTGTATTCTTGATGATTGCCATTCTGACTAGAGTGAGATGGAATCTCAGTTTCATTTTGATTTGCATTTCTCTAATTGGTAGAAATGTTGAACGTTTTTTCATATATTGATCAATTGTATTTCTTCTGTGAGGTGTGTATTCAGTTCCTTTGCCCACTTATTAATAGAGTTATTTGTTTTTTGGTGTTAAGTTTTTTTTTTGAGTTCTTTATATATCTTGGTGATTAATGCTCTATCTGAGATGCTGCGGTAGATTTTTTTCCTATTCTATAAGCTCTCTCTTCATGTTTTTGATTGTTTCTTTGCTGTGAAGAAGCTTTTTATTTATTGATTCTCTTATTTTTAATGTATTATTTTAGTTGTAGGTGGACACAATACCTTTATTTTATTTTTATGTGGTGCTGAGGATTGAACCCAGTGCCTCACACGTGCTAGACAAGGTCTATACCACTAGCCCCCCATTTATTGATTCTTGATTTTGCTTATTGTGCTTTAGGAGTCTTGTTAAAGAAGTTATTTCTTAAGCCAACATGGTGAAGATTTGGGCCTGCTTTTTCTTTTGTTAGGTGAAGGTCTGTCTCTGTTCTAGTGCCTAAGTCTTTTGATCCACTGTTGAGTTGATTTTTGTGCAGGGTGAGAGATAGGGGTTTAATTTCATTTTACTACATGTGGATTCCCAGTTTTCCCAGAATCATTTGTTGAAGAGGCTATCAAAAAGATTTATTTCTTAGTCATCGCAAAATAGTTCTTATTAAAACACGTGCCTATAATCCCAGCTACTATGAGACTGAAGGAATAGGATCACAAGTTCAAGTCCAGCCTGGGCAAACCGTTTCTCAAAATGAAAAGGGTTAGAAATGTACCTCAGGGGGCTGGGGATGTGGCTCAAGCGGTAGCGTGCTCGCCTGGCATGCGGCCCGGGTTCGATCCTCAGCACCACATAACAACAAAGATGTTGGGTCCGCCAAAAACTTAAAAAATTCTCTCTCTCTCTCTCTCTCTCAAAAAAAAAAAAAAAAAAAAAAAGAGAGAGAGGGGGAAATTAATTAAAAAAAAAAAAGAAAAAGAAATGTACCTCAGTAGCAGAGCTGTCTTTTGCAGGGGCTACCAGGGATTAATATCAGGGACATTTTACCAACTGAGCCACATCCCCAGACCTATTTTGTATTTTGTTTAGAGACAGGGTCTCACTGAGTTGCTTAATGCCTCACTTTTTTTTGATGAGGCTGGCTTTGAACTCAAAATCCTCGAGTCTCAGCCTCCTGAGCTGCTGGGATTACAGGCATGCACCACTGCACCTGGCCTAAGTAGTAGAGCTCTTACCTAGCTTGTATAAGGCCCTGGGTTCAATTCCTAGGACTACAAAGAAAAAAAAGGAGGTAGGGGCAGCACCAGATCTTTATTTTGAATTATATCCTTTGTGTTAGAAAAGATACTGTCTTATCATTTGTTTGCTTTTAGCACAAATAATCTGCCCTTAATATTTGTAGGGAAGAGAAAAGAACCTAATTATCACATATATGCTACACACTAATATATGTACTTTGTCTAATGGTCTTCAGATTTGATATGTTACATATAATGCAGATACTTTTTTTTACTACTCATCACAGTCTGTGTTAAGCAACTTTAAAAGTAAAACCAAAGTCTGGGGTTGTGGCTCAATGGTAGAGCGCTTGTGTACTAGCATGTGTGAGGCACTGGGTTTGATTCTCAGCATCACATATAAAAACACATAAATGAAATAAAGTTCCATCAACAACTAAAACAAATTTAAAAATAATAAAAATTGATTTGTCAGAATTGCCTTTATTTTTCTTTGTAATGTTTGTTTCTATTTTCTGAGATGACCATCCTTTCTTCAAAAACATATTTGTAGGATGGTTGGAGATTTGAGAATCATTGTTCATTTTTTGCTTTGCCTTTTTCCATAGGTATAAATAGAACAGCCCTAAGAGAGATAAAATTATTACAGGAGCTAAGTCATCCAAATATAATTGGTGTGAGTATGATCTGAGTTATTTAATATTTGGGACCCTGCCCTTTTTTAATGTGGTAGATATTGATTTTTTTTTTTTTTTTTTTTTGGTGGTACTGGGGATTGAACCCAGGGCCTTGTGCATGCAAGGCAGGTACTCTACAAAATGAGCTATGTTCCCAGCCCCAGATATTGATTTTGATTGAAGGATTAGTAAGATGAGTTGTTGTAGATGAGACTTGAAAAAAGCTTTAAAGTTTATCTGTTTGAAATGTGTTTTCTATCCTAATTGTATAGGAAATGTCTTAAAAATCATACTACTGATAAAATAAATCAAATGTCAAAAAAAAAAATGTTGACATAGGTTCATTTTGCCAGAAATCATTTTGAATTCTAAAGAGCACTAGCATAGTGCATTCAAAACCCTTTATTTGTCCTGTGTAAGACCTTGAACAAGTTTCTTTTAAACCACATTCTGGGCTGGGACTGTACCTCAATGGAAGACAGCTTGCGTAGCATGTCTGAGGCTCTGGGTTTGATTCCTAGCACTGCAAAATACTAATACTAATACTAATACTAATGTATAGTCCCTACCTCATAAGTTTGTTGCAAGACTACCTATTTGAATACATGTATCTGGATTAGTTCCTGCCATGGAGAATGTACTCATTCACTTAATGGTAGCTACTGCTATTTCAAGGATTTTTTTCCCCCCTCTTTTTTTCTTTCTTTCTTTCTTTATTTGTAGAATAGAGATTGAAGGAACTTGGCACATGCTAGGCAACTGCTGTACCAGTACATCATATCCCCCTAGAGTATTATTATTAATTTTTTTAAGATTGGTCTCATAGGTCTCATATGTTTCAAGGCTGGTCTTAAACCCCTGGACTCAAGTGATCCTCCTGCCTCTGCCTCTTGAGAGCTGGGAATGCAGCACATGCCACTGTACCTGGCATGGATTTTTTGTTTTTAAGCATTCTGCTTGGGAATTTTTTTTTTTAAGAGAGAGAAAAAGAATTTTTTTTTTTTTTTTTAAATATTTTTTTTTAGTTTTCGGCGGACACAACATCTTTGTTTGTATATGGTGCTGAGGATCGAACTCGGGCCGCACGCATGCCAGGCAAGCGTGCTACCGCTTGAGCCACATCCCCAGCCCGGGAATTTTTTTTTTTTTAATTGGTGACTGAGGTATAGTTTTCATAATTTATTTCTTATTAACTCCCCAAATCTAGGAGGAAAGCTTTTAAGTATTTAATAGTTTTTACAAAAGTAGTTTAGGGACTCAAGTGTAGCTCAGAGGTAGAGTATTTGCCTAGCATGTGCAAGGTCTAAGGTTCAATCCCCAATACTGTAAAAGAAAAACATAGGTAACTGGGGTGTGGCTCAGTGGTAGAGCAAGCGCCTTCCATGTGTGAGGTATTGGGTTCAATCCTCAGCACCACATAAAAGTAATTAAACAAAGATACTGCATCCATGTATAACTAAAAAATATTTTAAAAAGTAAAATATAAATTTAAAAAAATAGTTTAATATTTTTGTTTCTCAAAATACTAATTTCTTTAGGGGCTGGAGTTGTGGCTCAGTGGCGGAGTGCTTGCCTAGCATGTGTGAGGTACTGGGTTTGATTCTCAGCACCGCGTCTCAATAAATAAAAGTCCATTGACAACTTAAAAAAATTTTTAAAAAAATACTAATTCCTTTAATACTATTCACAAAAGAACAAATGTTAAATTTAATAAAATAATTTGAGCTTTACAGGATTAAAAAAAATTACCTTAGTTAGTATAATACTGTCATACAAGTATATGAAATAGAGAATCACATTTTAACTTTTAAATTTTTTTGCTTTGCAGCTCCTTGATGCTTTTGGACATAAATCAAATATTAGCCTTGTTTTTGATTTTATGGAAACTGATCTAGAGGTAAGATTAAGATTCTTAGAGAATATTTTTCTCCAGTTTATCGAAGAAGAACCTAAATGTTTGTTAGACCATTAATAGACTAGAGGAGTGGGGTTGTGGCTCAGTGCAGAGTGTTTGCCTCGCTATGTTTACCACTGCTATGTATAAGGCACCGGCCGGGTTCAATCCTCAGCACCACATAAAAAAATAAATAAACAAAGATATTGTGTCTATGTTAAAAAAAATAGACTAGTATTTTAAAAAATGCTTAATTTTATTGAACTATAGATGGACTTTGAAATCAAAAGGATCTCTCAGTTCTTTTCTATGGTTGGCTGTTTTCACAGTGCTAAATGCAGAAATTTGGATTTCATTAGTTATTTTTGTCTACTAATTTCCCTATAGATTATTACATTGTTTTTAGAGAAATTAGCATTAAACCTGTGATAATTTTGAGCTTTCCCCCAATATTTTCAGATTAAAGCCATATTTTTGAAAGCCAAATTAAAAAAAATTAAATAAAATCTCATATGATTTTCATTAATCATAGTGGAATCTCAAAATACTGATAAACCAAGGATATAGAAGAACTGGAATTTTCATACACTATTGGTGAGAATGTAAATAATAATAGTTAAGAAACTATTCAAGAAACTGGAAACAGTTTGGTAGTTTCTTTTGTAGTTAAATACATATTTACTAAACAAGTCAAAAGAAAAAAAAGGATTTCATATAACAGTATCAAGTAGTAAAAGAAACACTGAATATACAAACTGGTGTGGTTGGGGCTCTATCACTGTAGATGTGTCCATCTACAACTAAAAAAATATTTAAAAAAAAAAAAAATATATATATATATATATATACACACACACACACACACACACAAACTGGTGACAATAAAGTATAGCCTGTGGTGATAGATCTTTCTGTCATAAATGTCACTAATATTGTGATTGTTACCGATAACTAATTGTTATTTAGCAGTACCACTGCTATGTATGTAAGAGAAACATATACATTGCCAACACAGAAATTACTTGGTACACAAATATTTAGCTTTATTCCTAATCACAAAACTGGAAACAAATCCAATGTCCATCTAGTGAATGTATAATTTGTTGTAGCCTATGTAATGGAGCACTACCCAGGAATAAAAAAGAACTGATAAATATAGGAATAAACTGACTTTTGGCACAGCTTGCAAATAATGCCATCTGAACCAAGTTTTACATTGTTTCAATTGTCTTTTTTTCCCTCAGTTTTCTTCATTTTTTTGGCATACTTAATAATGGAGGTTCAGGCAGTCAGCTTATATCCTTGGAATCTAATAATCCCTGAAGTAAGAAAGTGCTTTTGTTCCCCCCGCCCTTTCCTGCCTCTCTATTTTTTTAAACTAATTTTTCTTAATTGATGCATTATAGTTGTACATGCTGATGAAATTTGTTTTTCCATATTCATACATACACATAATACACAATATAACAATATAATTTGGCCAATATCACTCCTGAGCACTTTTCCTCTCCCTCCCTCTCCACCTCTCTCCTCTTGATCCCTTTCCTCTCGGATCTCCCATTGATTTTCATGAGATCTGCCTCTATCTTTCTTTACCTTTTTCTTTCCCTCTTTACCTTTGGGCTTTGTTCTCTTTGATTTTAGGATAAATAAGTACTTCCCTTGGTTGATTGGTTAGTCTTAGATCATGCATCCTTCCCTGAGGCAGACAGTCTCTTGGCCAGGAGGCTGCAGTGTGGTAATAACCATGACTGCATCAATTGCCTGCCTCTGAATGCCTCAGATGGTGGGGGAGGGTCAGTATTTTCTTAACCATATGGACTGAGCTGGGAAGAGGCAGTGTCCTAAAGCACTACTGAATACAGAAGAAAGATCAAGCAAAAATCACAGCTGACTGCCCCTTTTATACAAAATTGAAGCATATGAAGCATTATTTTCTTCCCAAACTAGAGATGATCTTTAATCATCTAACTAGAAATTCTGACAGTACCTTCAAAGGAGATTTGGATAATCTGTTTTGGAGACTATTCTATGTGGATGTAAGCATTTTAATTCTGTAATTTTTTTATATGGTAGAGTTCATTTGGAATGATGACGTGTGCCTGTATGTATATCTGCTTTATAGGTTATAATAAAGGATAATAGTCTTGTGCTGACACCATCACATATTAAAGCCTATATGTTGATGACTCTTCAAGGGTTAGAATATTTACATCAACACTGGATTCTACATAGGGTAAGGTTTTTAATATTGTTTCTTTAAATTGGTCAAGTTTTATGTGTACATTTTAGTGTATAATGGTCTGAATGTGTAAATTGTTGCACAAAATAAAGATATAGCTGAACCATTTTATTCCAGCTTCTTCTACTATGTGTTCCTTCAATCGCAGCAAATGGTGCTGTGTGTACTTCAAATTTCTATGTGAAATTTAGAATTGGAAGAGATCCAGTACATTTTATTTTTTTTTAGATGAAGAGCTAGATTGCTAAATTACCTAAGTTTTTTTTTTTTTTTTTTTTAGGGTCAGCAGCTGATAACTGATGGGATGTTAGAACTTATGTCTTTGGGCTTTAAATCTAGTATTCTTTGTGCTATACTGTTAAAGGGAAAAACATAGTGAGAGTCTGGATTAATTTATACAATGCTAAAATGCCTTTTAAGAATCATATATCTAGTGGCTCTAAAATTTATAGAAGTTATGAAATAAAATTTATGAAATTGAATCATTTTTAGGAACATTTAGCTGTTGAAACATTAGCTGATGATTTATCTAGGTAGGATGGGCTCACCATGTGATGCCCTGCAATCCATAGAAACTCCGAGAGAGTTCCCACCAGCAAGAAGGCTCTCACCAGATGTGGACCCTTGACCTTAGACTTCCTAGCCTTTTAGAACTGAGTGGCAGAGCCCTTGTTACAGTAACAGCAAGATGAATAAATAAATAACTGAGAAAAAGAAAGCAAAAAAGAGTGGCCTTGGAGACAGAGACTCTGGCAACAGATATGCTGAAATGTAAGTATTTGTAAGGAGAAAAGGAGACAAGAATAACCAAGTCAGGGGCTGTGGACATAGCTCAGTTGGTAGAGTGATTGCCTCACATGCACAGGCCCCTGGTTTAATCCCCAGCACCACACACACAAAAAAAACAAAAAACAAAAAAAAAACCCAAAGTCATGGCTGGGCTGTAGCTTAGTTGTAGAGTGCTTGCCTAGCATGGGTGAGGCACTGGGTTCTATTCTTAGCACCATGTAAAAATAAATAAAGTCATCCCTCAGTATCCATGGGGGACTGTTATCAAAATTCCCATGGATAGGGCTGGGATTGTGGCTCATCGGTAGAGCACTTGCCTAGCACATGCAAGGCCCTGGGTTTGATCCTCAGCACCACATAAAAATATAAAATGGAGATTTTGTGTCCAACTACTGCTAAAAAATACATATTAAAAAAAAAAAAATTCTGGGCTGGAATTTTGGCTCAGCTGTAGAGCGCTTGCCTAGCACAGGCAGGACCCAGGTTTGATCCTCAGCTACTACATAAAAATAAAGGCATTGTATTAAAAAAAAAAGTTAAAAAAAAAAAAAATCCCATGGATACTAAAATCCAGGGGTGCCCAAGTCCCTTCTATAAAGTGGAGTAGTATTTGCATATAACCTATTTAATCCTTATGTATACTTTAAATCATCTCTAGATTACATAGCATTTATTAGGTATTTATAAGTAAATAGTACATACAAAGGTCTAACTATATAGCAACTGATTATTGGTTGGTTGAATTGTGGATGCAGAACTGGTAGAGGATAACAAAAAAAAGTCCTTGGCTTTTCCCTCAAATTTAGAAAGTAGTCCATTAAGTGCAAGGTTATATACTTTATATTTAAATCACATTAACTAAAAACATCTTTTGGATATCAAATTCTTTTCAAACCAGGAAAAAAATTTTTCAGTGCAAAACATTATAAAGCCTAAATTCTGAAAAGGGGGGGGGGGAAGGAAAACCATCATTGGGAATGTCCTAAATATAGCTTCGTGTCTCAATGTGATCAATATTATGTATATGCTTCTCCACCTGCTATAAAAGGTAGAGAGTAATAAGAGAAATTTTGCGTCCTTTTGTTTTTGTCTGTTTCTCTTTTAAAGATATCATTATTTGTGTTATATATTCTTCATTTTTCTGCTGTAATCATTAAAGTTCTGTATAAGTAATTGTTATTTATAATATACTCCTAGTGTCATAAAAACGATTGTCCTCATTTTGTAAATAGAAAAACTGAAGCATAATGAATTTATTTCTCAAGAAATTTCAATGAGGGACCAGGAAATGTACTACCAGGATAGTTGTAAAAGAAACTATTTCCTATGGCTAAGTTCACTTGAAAATAAAATTTCCTGGGTTTTTTTTTGTCTCAAAAAAAGAAAAAATTATCTAGATAGATGTTCTTGGGTACATAGGAACTAGTAGTTAAAAATTACATATTCATATCTTAAATTTGGAACTTTTTTTAGGTTATTACTCATAGCTCTTTTGCATAGATTTTGGAAAATATGTTTTGGAAAATATGTTCTTCTAAAGTTCACATATATTATTGTTATTAAATTCACAGTTGCAATGATTTATTGGGTGCTTACTATGAACCAGTGATTCCACTAGACCCTTTACAGAAAATATTAAATTTAGTCTTCACAGTTACTCTATGAATTAGTTAAATTGGTGCTTAGTCAAATTAAGTACCTTACCCCAAATCTCACTAAGTAATATAAATCTTACTTTGCTTTGGGACTTTACATTTGTGGAAAAAAAAGTTGACATTTGTTTAAAATTTGAGAATTACCCTGTTTTCTATGTTTAAAGATAAGCCAACTAAATATATCACTGTGGTATTCTTCCCAACCCTGCTTATTTGTTTGTTTAAAACCTCCATGATACAGGATCTGAAACCAAACAATTTGTTGCTAGATGAAAATGGAGTTCTAAAACTGGCAGATTTTGGCCTGGCCAAATCGTTTGGGAGCCCCAATAGAGCTTATACACATCAGGTTGTAACCAGGTAAGAATCCTTTAAATAATTGAAAATTTGTGCTATTATTGGTTATTGGTCACAAATGAGCATCAGTTGGCCTCTCTGAAATATCTTGGCAGAGTTCAGGAATCATTGTTGGTGTCTTCTTAAAAATGCATCCCTTTTTTATTACGTTTTAATACAATGAAGAAAATAGCTCTTTTTAAAAATGAAATTGAATTAACTTCATTCTCAGATATTTACCTTATAACTTGTTTTTGTGATGTTAGGAATTGAACCCAGAGCCTTGCACATCCTAGGCAAACACTCTACCACAGAGCTTTGTCCCCAGCACCTTTAGTAACTTTTGAGAACAATTTATGCTTCTTCTACATTTTAGTTAGATAATCTGAAACTCGAGTGGCCTTTTTGTTTATTATATTGTCATTCTTGGTTCTGTAACCTTCTGTGTGAATGAAAGTTCTCTACACCAAGCATCAATATTTATTTATTAATTTTTTTATGGTTCTGGGGATTGAAACCTGGGGTGCTCAGCTTCTGAACTACATTCCCAGTCCTTTTTATTTTGTGAGTGTCCTGCTAAATTACCAAGATTGGCCTTACACTTGTAATCTTCCTGCCTCAGCCTCCTGAGTAGCTGGGATTACAGGCATATGCCACCATACTTGGCTTTCAGGAGAACTCTTCTTGAAAATTGGCAGGTGTGTATGGTATCTTGTAGTTATGATGAAGAATTGGTTTTAGAAACGGGCAAGGAGCCTTGTGTGGTGGCATATGCCTGTAATCACAGCAGTGCAGGAGGCTGAGACAGGAGAATTGCAAGTTCAAGGCCAGCCTTAACAAGTTAGTGAGACCCTGTTTGAAAATAAAAAGGGCTGGGGATGTAGGTGAATAGTAAATTGCCCCTGGGTTAAATCCCTAGTACCACCCCAGCCTCCCCCCCCCCAAAAAAAAAAAAAAAAAGAAAGAAAACTTAAAAAACAAGCCAGGATAGTTCATGTCTAAGAAATGTCTTTAGTAATTACATTCTCAAATGAACATTATTTCTTTTTGTCCTTCAGATGGTATCGGGCCCCTGAGTTACTATTTGGAGCTAGAATGTACGGTGTAGGTGTGGATATGTGGGCTGTCGGCTGTATTTTAGCAGAGTTGCTTCTAAGGGTAAGTCTTAAATTAATGTACATATTTCAGTATTGTTTGTGTAGAAATCATCTTCCCATCATTATCCCTGCAACAGAAAGACTAGAAACCAACTAAATAGTTTTTAAAAAATCCTCAGCTGGATGCAGTGGGGCCCACCTATAACCCCAGCTACTCAGAAAGGATCCTGAATTTGAGAATTTGAGACTTGCCTCAGCAACTTAGCAAGATCCTGTCTTTTTTTAAAAAAAAAAAAAAAGGCTAGGATTGTAGCTCAGTGGTTGAGCGCTTGCCTCACATGGGGCACTAGGTTTAATCCTCAGCACCACATACATACATACATAAAGCAAAGATATTGTGTCTGTCTACAACTAAAAAATAGTTTTAAAGAAGCCTTTTCCAAATACATCCTTTTTATTAATGCTTACTTGAGATGAGAAGACCTCTATTTAGAATAAGAGTCTTATATTTTATTTCAGAACACAGAAACTAACTTGTAATATGTCAGTATTTCTATATTGACTAAAGGTGTTAGAATAAACTTTTGTCCTCCTGGAAGGTTTTTTGTTTGGAGCTATTTAGAGTACACTTTAGAAATATATCAACTACTGTAGCTGCCATTACAAAGAACTTTTTTTTAGTGCCCCCCCCCCAATTTTAGTCCATATTTTATTAGTGTATTATAGTTATATATTCATACTTGTTAAGTCTTATTATATATTCATACTTGCACACACTATAACAATATAATTTGGTCAATGTCATTTCCTGATGCTTTCCCCCTCCCTCCCCTCCTCTTACCTGCTGTTCCATTTCCTCTGTTCTACTGATCTCCCTTCGATTTTCTTGAGATATCCAGCCCCACCTTTCATTTTTTTTTTCCTCTCTAGCTTCCATATACCAGAGAAATCATATGACTTTTGATTTTTGAGTTTGCTTACTTCCATTAACCTAGTAGTCTCAAATTCATCCATTTTCCTAAAAATGACGTAATTTTACTTTTCTTTATGATTGACTAAACTTCATTATGTATATATAACACATTTTTATTATCCATTTATTTGCTGATGAACATCTAGGATGCCTCAAGAACTTTAAAACTTGTGTGAAATCATTATTTTCATTCTGTTCAAACAGATATGGTGACCCTATAACATTTCTCTGACACCATCTTACAATAAAATATTCTCTTATGCTCACTAGAGAGAGAAATGCAAACTTGGAAACTTTTCTCTCACCATAGCATTTAGTTCCCAAGGAAGACTAGCTCTTCTGAAAGATGAAAGCAAATGATTATTCAGGGATCCTGAAGCTGGGTGTTTTTATCTTCATATTCCAGCATCTGCTTACTCAAGTGTTTGAAGAAATGTGAAACCATAATTAGATAGCTTTCTTATTTCCTTAAATACAAAAAATAGCGGGCTGGAGATGTGGCTCAAGCGGTAGCGCACTCGCCTGGCATGCGTGCGACCCGGGTTCAATCCTCAGCACCACATACAAACAAAGATGTTGTGTCCACCAAAAACCAAAATGTAAATAAAATTATATTTAAAAAAAAAAATAGCTTGTGTACACAAAGAAAAAAAGCTATACTAAACTAAAAAGGTGTTTAACAATGTAGGCATTGGGTTACAGCCCAGTTGTGGAGCACTTGCCTAGACTGCTCCAGATCCTGAGTTTGATCCCTAGTACCAGAGGTGGGGAGAGGGTTTTCCACCAGTCTGTTTATGGGGACCCTAACCTGAAAACCTTATTACCTCACAAAATCCTCACCTCCAAATAATCATATGAGTTTGGGGATGAAGTTTCAGAGGGACATTCAAACCATATCACTGCTCCTGCCTAGCGTTTTAAGAGTATATCATACCATAAAGCACTGACCCAGGAAAGATCAAAATTCTACTGAAGGCACACCACTATAAGAGGAAAAAAATAAGTCACACCATCGAAAGTCAGGGCCTATGTTCCCAGAGACGAATAACATCTTACATAGAAAACAAAGGATTAGGGTAAAGAATGGCGTCAGCTTTCTAAATAGCATTAGAATCTGCAGAACTAACCATGTTTTGAGGGGAAATGATTTTCAACCTAGAATTTTATTCTTATTCATATTTTCAGTTAAATATGAGAATAAATAAAATTTATTAAAAATTTATACACCACGTGTGGTGTATGTCTGTGATCTCAGCAGCTTGCTAGGCTGAGGCAGGCGGATCGTGAGTTCAAAGCCAGCCTCAGAAAAAAAAAGTGAGGCACTAAGCAACTAAGTAAGATCCTGTCTCTAAACAAAAGACAAAAAAGGGCTGGGGATGTGGCTCAGTGATCAAGTGCCCCTGAGTTTAATCCCCAGTACCCACCCCCGACAAAAATATTTATATTCCTTTCCATTCTTAAAAGTTTTTGGAAGATGGGGTCTACTATAAATGAGAATAAACCAAGAAAAGGGTATGGGATCCAGGGAACATGAGAATCAACATTTTTAAAAAAGCTAATAAACTCTCTGCTGAGAAAACAGGTATGAGTGAACACAGGCCCAGAGAACACTAGTCTAGATTGGAATTGGTGAGATGAGAGCTTAGCAGAGGAGGTCTCCAGAAAGAAGGAAATTTAAAAAAAACAAAACTGGAGGATTACAATGTTTAATCATATTGGTTTGATATTTAGTATGATATTGAATAACTGGAATCTTAGCCTTCGTACTAAGAAAGATGCCAAAGAGAGGGCCACAGGAGTTGGAGGAGCGGGGCTTGGAAACCATTGCCTCTAGGATAACCAAATTGTACGAGAATGGAAACAGTCTGAACAAAAATAGTCACAAAAGGGGGGGGGGGTTATGGTCAAAGGACCAGTTTTTATTGTAAGTCTCTAGTACTAGTTAGGTTTTAACAAGGTTTATGTATAAATTTAATACAAATACAATATAAAAGACACAAAGCTCGCCAGGTGTGATGGTGCCCATCTATAATCCCAGTGACTTAGGAGGCTAAGGTAGGAGGATTGCAAGTTCAAGGCCAGCCTCAGTAACTTAGTGAGACCCTATCTCAAAATTAAAAATAAAAATAGCTGGGTTCGTGGCTTAGTGGTTAAGTATCCCTGGGTTCAATCCCCAGTATCAAAAAAAGCCCCCAAACCAGCTGTTACAGCTGGTTGATGAGTATATTCAGAGTCTTTTTACTACTCTGTTTTTGCATATTTGAAAATATGCATACTAAACAATCTTTTGTCCTGGAAGGAAGAGGTGCCATGGAACTAGAACTTAAGCTTTGTGGCTTTTTTGTTTTGTGGCAAAAAATGGAGTGTGGGAATATATTGGTAAGATAAAATCTGCCATATGTTAAAAACTATTAAGAGGCTAGGCACAGTGGTACATAGTGGTGCACTGGAGCTTCCCACCTTAGATATCATATAACATTTTTCATATGTTACTGCAGTGTTTTCCTCTAGAAGGTAAGGATTCTTTATCATAACCACAATACCATTGAGATCTGAAGAGAGTGAACAATAATTCTTTAATAATAATAATAATTCCTTGATCAAATACCCAGTCTGGTATTGGAGATTTCCCCAATTTTTTCTCATAAATGTCTTGTTCAAATTGGGATTGAAAAATCTATTGGGGATGGGAATGTAGCTCAGTTGGTAGAGTGCTTGCCTTGCGTGCACAAAGCCTTGGGTTCAATCCCCAGCATCACCAAAAAAAAAAAAGGCAAAAACAAAATCCATATATTTGGCAGCTCATTTTGGTTTTGAGTCTTTTGGGAGGTGGGGTTGGGAAGGGTTTGCAGTGCTGGGAATTGAACCCAGGACCTCATGTATGCTAGGCAAGTGCTATACCACCCCGTATCCTACGCAGCTCATTTTTTTTTTTTTTTTTTTTTTTTTTAAATATTTATTTATTTATTTTAGTTTTTGGTGGACACAACATCTTTGTTTGTATGTGGTGCTGAGGATCGAACCCGGGCCCGCACGCATGCCAGGCGAGCGCGCTACCACTTGAGCCACATCCCCAGCCCCCGCAGCTCATTTTAATGTAAATTTTTTACCTCATACAAAAATACAGCCGTCCTTAAAATTGCAAGCTTGTCTACAATTTGCAGATCGCATTGGACATGAGAATACATGTCCCTATAGGGGACAAGATAATTCCGAGATATTAAAAGAAAATATAAGTTTATTCAAAAGTACTTTTAATGTTATTTAATACAGTTTATGTAAATATGACATACATGATGGTAGTTTTGTATAATTTATAAATAAAGTGGGTGGAACAATGCAAAGCAAGCAAAGTACTAGGTTGGGGGCTAGTCTATAAGTTTTTGCTACTACTTGTCTGGGTTATTTGAAAAGCAAAATGCAAGCTGGGTGCAATGGCACACGCCTGTAATCCCAGTGGCTCAGGAGGCTGAAGGCAGTTCAAAGCCAGCCTTAGCACAAGCTAGGTGCTAAGCAACTCAGTGAGACACTGTCTCGAAATAAAATACAAATAGGGCTAGGGATGTAGCTCAGTGGTTGAGTGCCCCTGAATTTAATTCCTGGTACACGCCCCACCCCACCCCACCCCACCCACCCCTGGAAAAAAAAAAAAAACAATGAATTTTAGCTTTGGTGGATAATCTTCAGCATACGGAAAATGAATGTGGAACATTTTTTTTTCTTTTCATTTCTTGATTTAGTTTGAAGTTATGAGTTAAAATGACTTATTTCTTTCTTCCCTCTTTCTGGCCTATACCTTAATTAGGAAACCTCATAATTCTCCTCTTATCAGGGAAGTTAATATAAAGAATTGTTACTCTAATTTCCTGTTATAGTTAATAAGGGATTAAATGGTAAGAAATAAAACTAATTCTACAGTTTTAGGAGCTCATCACTACCACTCTAGGGCTGAGATCTAGATGTTATTGAAGGGAGCCAAAAACTTGTTGTGGATCTGTACTGGTAAAACTTACTAGAAATCTGCTTTCTAGAATGTGCTGGAAATCTGTGCTCCAGGATGCTGACAAAGGCTGTTCAGATAAAAAATGTCTCTCTGGAAGCACTCTGCTGGGTGACTGTTGGCCTCCTATACCACTGTAGCTGAGCACGGGAGAGACTGCTCATATCTCACGCTGAAAAGGCCTGATGATAAAGAACCTGAGGATACTGCAGTGGTCAACTGAGCATGCAAACTGAAACCAGAAAACAAAACTTGTTCTTTCACTTAAGGTCTCTCCAGCATTCTCTTTTGACAAAACTTCAGTGTCCATTGATGAAAGGAAGATATTTTAAGGTTCCAGATCTATTTCCATAGAGAACTGAAAAAGCAATAAGTTGATAATTGGTGCCTGGGATATTATTGTGGGCTTCCTTTTTTTCCCTCCTCAGTACTGGTGGTTGAACCTAGGGGCACTTTATCACTGACCTGTGTCCCTAGCCCTTTTTATTTTTAATTTTGAGACAGGCTCTCACCAGGTTGCTTCGGGTTTCAATAAGTTGTTGAAACTGGCCTTGAAATTGTGATCCTCCTGCCTCATCATCCCAAATCACTGGGATTACAGGTATCAGCCACTGGGCCTGACGCTTGTGTTTGTTTTTGCTGGTAGGAGTACACAGTAACAAAGAATTTGAAGACCTGGCTTTTAATCTCTTGTCTTCACAGTGAATCTATAAACTTTGTCAAAGCCATGAAAAATACTGGAGGCCAATGTATTCATAGAGAATTAAATACCTTTTTTCTTTTATATATATTTACATAGATATTTGAGAAAAATGAATTAGAAAATACGGTCTATGGGGGCTAGGGGTATAGCTTAGTTGGTCTCGCAAGCTCAAGGTCCTGGGTTCAATCCCTAGCACTAAAAAAAAAAAAAAAAAAAAAATACAAGGTCCATGTATAGCAGAGATTTTTGATTGTTTATCAACTTACTAGTTTTGTTTTGAGTTTTTGGTGCCAGGGAATGAACCTAGAGAGACTTAACCAGTGAGCCACATTCCATCCCTTTTTATTTTTTGAGACAGGGTCTCACTAAGTTGCTTAGGGCCTATTAACTTGCTGAGGCTGGCTTTGAATTTGCGATTCTCCTGCCTTAGCCTCCCAAGTTGTGGGGATTACGGGTATATGCCACTGAGCCCAGCTAGCTCAAGTTTTAGCTTGTAATTGTTTGTCTGATATATCTCTTCAGATAAAGAATTTGTTAAATTCTTTAAACAAGATTGGAATATTTTTTTCCCTCCCAGCTTTTTTGTCTGCCCTAGAATAGTTTTCTTCTTCAACTTAGATATTTCTCTTGCTAACTCATATTCATCCTTCACCTATCACTGCCGCTTTCCTAGAAATCCTTCCCTGACCCATCTTGAATGGGCTAGGTGCTATTCCTCTGTCATCTAAGATAATGTACTCTCACTTAACACATTGTAAATAAATGCCTGTTTACTTACATCAACAGTGTTCACCACCTTCACTGCAGGGGCAATTTTAATCCTTTGTTGTTGTGTTTAGGGTACAGCGCATGGTAAAAATTTATTAAAAATTTATGTAGTGAATAAAATGGATACTGAAGGTACTATTTACTTTTTCAAATGTGGGAAGGATCTAATGCCACATACATTATATCTCAGTCTACATTTTTTAATGTTACAGAGATTTTTAGCATTTTTATTATTAAATTTATAGTATTGTTTGTATTAAAAACTATCACAAACCACCTTGAAATATCTCTTGCTTTTTCTCAGGTTCCTTTTTTGCCGGGAGATTCAGATCTCGACCAACTGACAAGAATATTCGAAACTTTAGGCACACCAACTGAGGAACAGTGGCCTGTAAGCCCTTATGAGTTTTTTTTAACTATAGTTAGGGTTCTGTAAGTTTATTTAGTTGTCATATGCTTCATGTATGTTCTGTCATGTGATTATTGAAGAAATATATTAAATATCTTAGTTGTGATAGCCTCATTACAAAATTACAAATGATTAAAAAGTTTATAAAGGAATACGTTAAAATTATGGCATACCTTTCAACCTCTGTTATACATATAGCCCTTCTCTCGAGTAATTCCTTCTTAGGTTATCACTGTTATATTTGGTATAAAGCTATGCTGAGTTTGTATACCCACAAGTACAAACATATATAATAGGGTTGCATTTTATCTCATTTTTTAACAAAAATTAGGGGCTGGGGATGTAGATCATTGGTAGAATACATGCTCAGCATGCCTAAGACCCTGGGTTCAATCTCCTGCTCCAAAAAAGTGATCCCACTTCAGATTTTTGTCTTGTAACTAACTTGGCTCCTTTTGCTCAAATAAAATAAAATACTTATCATTAATCTTTCCCTTTTTTAATTTAATTTTTAAAAAATATTCTTTTAGTTGTATATGGACACAATACCTTTATTTTATTTATTTTTATGTGGTGCTGAGGATTGAACTCAGTGCTTCATACATGCTAGGCAAGTGCTTTATCACTGAGCTACAACCCCAGCCCAAGGGCATACCTTCCCTTTTTAATGGCTGAAATATTCTCCTTTATGGCTATTTCATTTTACTTAACTAATGTCTTCATGCATTTAGGTATATTTATATGAAGTATTATTAGTGCAATTAAGATGTTTCAGTATTATGATTATTTCATTACATTGTCTTCAAAAAAATATATAAAGTTGGGTGCAGTGATGTACACCTGTAGTCCCAGCTACTCAGGAAGCTGAGGCAGGAGGATCATGAGCCCAAGAGTTCAAGGACAGCTCCGGGGTCTCAATAGATAAAAATCTATCATAAAATTTATACCGATTTGAGCTGTGAAGTTTTATATTATAGTTTAACAGTACATTTTCACTTATTTTTTAAATAAAAAAATTATATAACTTTTGCTATTTCCTCACATTCTTGCTGCATGTCCTGAGGGATAAATAAATGCTAGAAATGAGAAATTTTTAATCATATTTCTTATCTTATAGTTAAAACTGTAATGAAAATTATCTGAAACTATTATTTAAGGAGTTTCTTAAGTACTGTTATTTCCTCAATTTCCTAATTGGAAAGTTCAATATATGTTCTAATTATAAAACATTCCCTAAAGGTCATCATTTATTGAGACCTTACTATATGTCATTCATGGCGGGCATTTCATAAATCATATTTAATCTACCCAATAATAGTATAAATCAGATAGTTGAAACTTAGTGAAATTAAATAATTTGGCATGGTGGTGTGTGCGTATAATTCCAGGGGCTCTAGAGCCTGAGGCAGGAGGATTGCAAGTGCAAAGCCAGCCTCAAAAACTTAGCAGACTCTGTCTCACAATAAAAAAATTTTTTTAAAGAGCTAGGGATGTGGCTCAATGGTTAGGTGCCCTTGGGTTCAATCTCCATACAAAAAAAAAGTAATTTACCCAAGGTCACAGTGAATATCAGAATTAGGACTTTAATCTGGATCTGACTCCACAACTACTGTTCATAATATGAGTTCTCTGCTTTTCTACTTTTCTGCTGTGATTTTCTACATAGTATTTGATTACCAATGTCTCCTTTGTTTTTATTTTTTAATTCTTTTTGTAGTTGTAGATGGACAGCATGCCTTTATTTATTTATTTTTATGTGGTACTAAGGTTTGAACCCTGTGTCTCACACATGCTAGGCAAGTGCTCTACCACTGAGCTACAGTCCCAGCCCCTTTTTTAAAATTTTCAAATGTTTTTTTTTTGGTCGTACAAAGGATTGAACCCAGGGACATTCTACCAATACATTCCAGAATAAGATATAAAAATTTCTTACTTTGAGGCAGGGTCTTGCTAAGTTGCCAAAGCTGACCTTGAACTGAAAATCCTCCTGCCTCTGCCTTTCAAGTAGCTGGGCTTTAGGTATGTGCCACCAGGCCTGGCTAATATGTGGTCTTCTGGATCATCTTTTGTGTTCCACTGATCTGTTTTATCTCTTGCTCTGTAAATACCACAGTCTTAATTAAATAAATTAGATATTCTTAAAGTCAGATAGAATGATCCCACCCACTCTATTCTTTTCTAGAATTATTTCAGCTACTCTAATTCTTTTGCATTTTTCTATAAGTTTTAGAATAATTAGTTTACATCTATATTAATTTTATCGATTGTGATTAACAATTGCATTAAGCCTATATCCATTTCAGAATTGATGTCCTTAATATGTTGAATCTTCCATTGTACAAAAATGAGGTTTCTCAAACAATTTAGAACTCTTTTATTTCATCAGCATTGTGTAGCTTTGAGTACAAGAATGTATATCTGTTTTGTTCCTTTTCATGTAAGTATTTCATTTTTCTTTTTGGTGATTGATATTATGTTTTTAATGTTTGTGTCTACATGTTCATTGTTAGTATATAGAAGAATGTTTGATCTTCTATTCTGTAGCCTTGTTCTACAATTTTTTTTTTCTGATAGTGGGTATTTTACCACTTAGCTATGTTCCTAACCCTTTTAATTTTTTGAGACAAGGTCTTTCTAAGTTCCTGAGGCTGGCCTTGAACTTGTAATCCTTCTGCCTCAGGTTCCTAAGCAGCTGGGATTATAGGCATGTGCCACCATGTTCAGTGTTTTGTTTTCTACAAATAGATTTCTTGGGATTTTTTTATGTAGACCGTCATATCATCTGCAAATATGAGTTTTATCTCATCTATGTACCTTTCAGTCCTTTACTTAAATTTGAATTATAAAATATTTTTATAGGACATGTGTAGTCTTCCCGATTATGTGACATTTAAGAGTTTCCCTGGAATCCCATTGCAACACATCTTCATTGCAGCAGGAGACGACTTGCTGGATCTCATACAAGGCTTATTCTTATTTAATCCTTGTACTCGAATTACAGCCACACAGGTATTTTTAACAATTTTTCTTTATATTAGGAGATATAAAGATAGTGTTAGCACTGATAAAATAAAATTTGAATTTTGTAAAATTTCTAACATTCTTTATCAGAAGGATGTGTTTTGCTTTGTAACTGTTAAGAAATGGTAGGGCTGGTGTTGTAGTTGAGTTGGTAGAGCGCTTTGCCTAGCATGCGTAAGGTACTAAGTGCAATCCTCAGCACCACATAAAAATAAAATGAAGGTATTGTGTCCATCTACTATGAAAAATATTTTTAAAAAAATAAATGGTATGTATTAGTTGAATTCTTATGTATTAATTTAAACTTTATGGCAAGCCTCATAGTGAAAGTGCTTCTTTTAGTGCCCACCCCCCATCCTCAACCTCAATAAATTACAATCCAGATAGTTAATCTGGTTATTTTCAATCAGAAAGCGTTAATGGGAAGGAAGGTTATAGTCAGATACAATGGTATGCTTGCAAGAAATTGAAAGATATTTTAAATTTAACCTAAACAATTGAGAGTTGTTTAAAAGAAATGAGAATGAACAATTTGGAAGACCAATATCTGCTCTTAAAAGAAGGGAGGGGGAAAAATTGGAGAAATAACAATAAACAAATAATGAGTAAAGTTATCCAATACAAAAATATAAGATCTATAGATCTTATATAGTAAAAATACTTTTCTTTGTTTTATGAACACACACGGTAAGGGCTGGGTATGTAGCTCAGTGGTAGAGCTCTTACCTAGCACGTGACCATGGTTTTAATATCTATTACTGGGGTGGGAAAAAAACAAATACAGGCACACCAAAAAGGGTAATCACAAGTCACAAACACTTAATTGGGTAGAGCAGTGCAAAAATGCAATAATATAATTATTTGACCTTATAAAGGAAGAGACTAAAATTAAAAAAAAAAAAAAGCATCACAAGTCTTCAAATCATATTAGACTACCAAATCATTGTTTAATGCATTTACTTTTATAAATAAACCTCCTTCCTTCCCTTCCCTCCATTCTTCCCCACCTCTCTCGGTATTTGGGATTGAACCCAGAAATGCTTTACCACTGAGCTACATTCCCAACCCTTTTTATTTTTTATTTTGAGACAGGGTCTTGCTAAGTTGCTTAGAACCTCACTAAATTGTTGAGGTTGGCTTTGAACTTGTGATCCTCCTGCCTCAGCCTCCCAAGTTGTGGGATTATGAGCATGCACCACTGTGCCCTGCTAATAAATAAACCTTCTCTTTTTAACAGTACATGGTACATTAGTATATACATACTGGGTATTTTACCATTAGAATTTCTCTTCTAATTTCAAAGAAGTAAACTTATTGATGCCATTTTACTCTTATATATTATTTACATCAGAAGAGACTAGGTACAGTTATCTAGAAAGTTATTTTCATTAGTAGTGGGTTTTTTAAAGATAGACACACTATCTTTACTTCATTTATTTATTTTTATGTGGTATTGAGGATTGAACCCAGTGCCTCATATATGCAAGGCAAGCGCTGTACGGTTGAGTCAGCCCCATTAATAGTATTTTTACAGAAAAGTACTAGTCACAATAATGAATTTGGGTGGGATTTTGTTAGATTGGGTTGTATTTTGATATATATATTTTTTCCTATGCTGGAGTTTGAACTGCACATGCTAAATACATTTTCTACAACTGAGCTATAACCCCCAGCCCAACAGAACCCTTAAAAATGGGTTTTAGGGGTTGGGGATTTAGCTAAATGGCAGAGCACTTGCCTAGGATGCACAAGGAACTGAGTTCAGTCCTTGGTCCTGGGAGTTCTGAAGGGGCAGGGAATGAGTGGATTTTATCTCATGGATGTCTGTATTAGTTAAAATTATATACTCTTTTTTTCCTAGATCTCTGCTTAGTCCAAAATTAGTTTAATTTCCTTATAGAACTGCTGTGACTTGGAAGTAATACTTTTAGAAATGCAAGTTTTTAAAAGCCTTACTTTTAAGAATTTGTATGATTTGGAATTTGAATATATGTGGATGTTGTAACCAACTTGAAGTTCTCTTTGAGCAAGTGCGTTTTGAACTATATATATTTCATAATGTTTAGAGAACCAAAATGGATAATATCTTTCTAGTGTCAGCATTCAGTTGTGGAATATTAGAAGTGAGCCTTTTGTTTGTTTGTTTTTTCTTTAAATATTTTTGGTTGGGTTTGTTTTTGTTTTGTTTTGTTTTTGATACCAGGGATTGAACTCAGGGGCACTTGACCACTGAGCCACATCCCCAGCCCTAGTTTGTATTTTATTAGAGATAGGGTTGCTTAGCGCCTGGCTAAATTGGTGAGGCTGGCTTTGAACTCATGCTCCTCCTGCCTCCGCCTCCCAAGATGCTGGGATTACAGGTGTGTGCCACTGTGCCTGACCTTATTTTTAGTTGTCAATGGACACTTTATTTTTTTATGTGGTGCTGAGGATCAAACCCTGTGCCTCACACATGCTAGGCAAGCACTCTACCACTCAGCTATGGGGAGTCTTTTTCTTTTCTTTTCTTTCTTTCTTTCTTTCTTTCTTTCTTTCTTTCTTTCTTTCTTTCTTTCTTTCTCTCTCTCTCTCTCTCTCTCTCTCTCTCTCTCTCTCTCTCTCTTTTTAATATTTAGTTGTATATAAACACAGTTTCTTTACTGTTAAGTTGAAAGGATATCGTTTATTGAATATTTTTTTAAATGTGAGATTAATGTACGTTTGATTTTAAAAATTTTGCATTAGGTTACCACAGATTTACATACAACTATAAACTGAAAAAATATTGGAAAGTTTCCATGTGATACTAACAAAGAAACTCTTTCCTTTATCATAAGAAAATAAACTTTTAGAAGCTAAAGCTAGCTTTACAGTCGTGCAAAATACTAACACTAAGCAGAAAGTAACATTTTTCTATACTTGGCCTGTATTTTAATTCTGTCCAGTAGAACCAAAACCTCCTGAACCCCTTTTAGTATCATTCAACACTAGAACTTCTTCTATATCTGGATAAAAAAATCCGTTCACAAATGTGCTGTGCTATTTGATCACCCTTTTTTACTTCAAACTTCTCTTTGCCAAAATTAAATAACACCAACATTTTTTCTATAATCTTCATCTATGACACCAGCTCCTACATCTATGAAATATTTTGCAGCCAACCCAGAATGTGGAGCTATTCTTCCATAGTACCCAGAAGGAAGAGCTATCTCAAATGTTTTCACTAGGGCTTTCTCCATAGGTGGTACTTTATAATCATAGGCACTGTACAGGTCATAGCCTGCGGCCCACGCGGTCCCCAGGGTCGGGGCTGTAGCGTGCGGAGTCCCAAGCCGCCCTTCTCCGCAGGCCGGGCCTTTTGTTGGGGGAGTGGGGGTTACTTCTTTAGAACAGGGCATGGCAGCACTGGAGGGCAAGGGAAGACAAGAGACCGGAGAAGAGAGCAAGGGATTCTTTATTTTTATGTAATGCTGGGGATTGAACCCAGTGCCTCACACATGCAAGGCAAGCACTTTACCACTGAGCTATATATAGCCTCAGCCCCGCCAGTCTTTTTCTTAAAGTAACGAAATTAATAATCTTAGAATGCTAGATTGTTACTTGTAGTGATTTATTTGCGTGTCCAAATACTTTATTTTAATTGTACTTTGTTTGGGGAATAGGGATTATCACATAGTATTTTTTTTTTAATAAATGTATTTTTAGTTGTCGGTGGACACAATACCTTTATTTTATTTTTATGTGGTGCTGAGGATCCAACCCAGTGCCTCAAGTGTGCCAGGTGAGTGCTCTACCACTGAGCCACAGGCACAGCCCAATCACATAGTATTTTTAATGTCCCCTGAAATTTGGGGCATTAATTTTTTGAGCATTTGTAGATTTTCCTGCACACAGTTCAGATATTCACTTAAAAACCTTACTTTGGTATCTTTGAAAAGGCATTGAAAACTAAGTACTTCAGTAATCGTCCAGGACCAACCCCTGGATGTCAGCTGCCAAGACCAAATTGTCCTGTGGAAACTTTAAAGGAACAGTCAAACCCAGCCATGGCAACAAAACGGAAAAGAACTGAGGCCTTGGAACAAGGTAAATATTCCCATTTTTATAAGAAATTGAATGAATTCAGAGAACTACAAAGAGCTCATATATAGCTAGTGACTGAAGGAAAGCTAAGAATTGTAGCTTATGAGGTATTAACTTTAATTTTTTGTACTGGGGATTGAACCCAGGGGTGCTTTTCCACTGAGCTGCTTCCATGATTCTTATTTTTATATTTTGAGACAGGGTCTTGCTAATTTGCTGAGGGTTGAAGTTGAGGCTGGCTTCAACTTCAGATCTACCTGCCAAGTAGCAGGAATTACAGCTGTATACTACTGTGCCAGGGTTGGCTATTTTTTTAAGTTGCATTAAATAGAAAAAATGTGCTATTAACTGTTTGTTTAGTATACCTCAGAGTTATGAGAGCTATCTGTGAGTTCCTTCCTCCTTTCACACATTCATAAGTATAAACTATGCTTAATGTTTAAGTGCCAGTAAGTTAAATAATGGGATTTGGAATGCAAGGACTGGTTAAAATTACTACAAGACTAACTGTGAACACTTTTTTTTTTCTTTTTGCTTTCTAGGAGGATTGCCCAAGAAGTTAATTTTTTAGTTACAGAGATTCCAGGATGATATTCTGTTACTGGAGGAAATGGTTCAAAAAGCAAATAATGGAAAAATAATAAGTATTAAGTAAATACTGTAGAAGTGAATTTGTAAATATTCTACAGGTGTAAAATATGTAAAACTGTCAGTTATTTTTATTAAATGTATTTTAAAATAAAAAAAAAATTAATTCTAGTTTTTCTGAGTGCAGAAATGAGATAAGTTTGGTTCTTTGAAATGCAGAATTGAAAACACATCCAAAAAAAAAAAAGAAAACACATGAGTGAGGGCTGGGGTTGTGGCTCAGAGCGATCCCTTAGCATGCTTGAGGTACTGAGTTTGATCCTCACTACCACATAAAGTAAAACAAAGACATTGTGTCCATCTGTAACTAAAAAAATAAATATTAAAAGAAAACACATTGGTGAAACCTTAAGAGTGCATGTAGTAATATGAATAACTATGTATGGCAATCTTTAGGATCTCAAAATTATATGTGAATGACAGTCTGTATCTCATAATGAATTTTTTTTACTTGAAACTTTAATTTTTTCCATGATTACATATATATATGTATATCTCTTGTGTGTGTGTGTGTGTGTATATATATATATATATGTAGTTGATTTAATTGTCATGTATGCAACAGTATTTACCCATGCTCTATATATGGACTGCAGTATTTTTCCACTGTTATAAAGAAAATTACCATAAGGGCTGGGGATATAGATCAGTTGGTGGATTGCTTGCCTCGCATGCACAAGGCCCTGGGTTCAATCCCCAGCACCACCAAAAAAAAAAAAAAAAAAAAACCATAAATACAGTAGTTTAAAATAACATAACACAGATTTATATCCCAAAGTTTTGAGGTCAATCTGGCATGGCTTAGCTATTTTTGCTTAGGATATCAGAAGGTGAAAGCCAAGATATTTGTCAGGTGGGCTATAACTTGGAGGCTGTAGGGGCAGGAAACTTTATCATTTTTGTAGGGTCTCAGCTGGGTTCCAGAATAAGATTGACATAGATAAATAGGGAAAAGCATAGAAATGTAATAGAAGACTTACTTGGCATGGGAGCCCTCATTAAAAAAAGGGGCGAGGTGGTGCATGCTTGTAATCCCAGCAGCTTGGGAGGCTAAGGCAGGAGAATTGTGAATTCAAAGCCAGCCTCAGCAACAGTGAGACCCTGTCTCTAAATAAAATACAAAATAGGGTTGGAGATGTGGCTCAGTGGCTGAGTGCCCCTGAGTTCAATTTGTGAGACCAAAACCACAAAAGTATATAACCAAAGTTTTTTTTTTTTTGTACAGAATTCCTTCAGCCTCAACTTTTCTTGTCTTTGATGCTAAGATTTGCATATTTCATATGGGAATTTCTTCTCTTTGTTTTTTCTTTTAAGAAACAGTATGAAAGAGTAATCTTCTTGCACCTGCTATTTTTCAGGTCCCTTTAACTTAGTATGCCAGAGGTCTTTTTGTTTTGTTTTTTAAAACTCCTTTAAACTCTAGGTGAGAATTTGTTATGAAGTTCATGCAGTTCTTATGGTTCTAATTCTGGTGCTCTGCTGGCCCAGGCTTTTGGTAGCTGCCAACCTGTGGCTTCTCTCAGCTTCTTAAGGCCACTCATATGCCTTATCATATGGCACTCACCATCACAATTCAGCAAGGGCATCACATGCCCCTTTAAAGAGCTTGTCTGATTTCTTCATATACTACCTAAAGAGAAAACTGCTTTAAAAAAAAAAAATAATAAACCCCTGATTGAGTTATCCATATATTAAACTTACTAAGGAGTTTAATTACCCCTTCAAAGCACTACCTAGATTATTTTTGAATAATTGGAATACGAATCTTGAGAAACCCATCTTTAGAATTCTGCCACATGGACATTTAGGTCATTTTCAGTTTTTCAAAGTTAATAGAAAAGGCAATATTCTTATGCATATACATAAATATCTCTAATGTACATATTTAGAATTATAATTGTGAGGTCATAAAGTATATACATTTCAATTAATTATATTTCCATATTTCTTCAAGTAATTATCAGTTTGTTGCATCTATACCAGCAGACTGAAAACCATGCCTCAAAACAGTCTGGAAGGGAGAAAGAAGGTCTTTTTTTTCACTCCTATTCCCAATGATCACATTCATAGACACTTAGCTGTCCTGTATATCTACGTTGCATCATCTGACCGCTATGCAGCCATTCAGGAGCCAAGAATTCCATACCCATTGTTTCATCCAAGACAGGAAAAGTCAAACTTAAGAGTTAATGGGCTGGCTCCAAAGCTGTACTGAGTTAGTTGATTGACAACTGCAACAAAATTGTAAGTATTCCCTTGGAAGAGTGGTACATGGCACTTACAGAAAAGCACACAGCTAAGAGAAGAGACTAGGAAATAATAGGCCAAAGGAGTCTGAGGACATTTTGCTTTTATTTATTTGCTACATCTTAGGGATCACACTGTATAAACATAACTCCATTACATAGTTATGTTATAACTTATATAAATTTTTTTGATACAGGGGCACTTGACCTCTGAGCTACATTTCCAGTCCTAGTTTGTATTTTATTTAGAGACAGGGTCTCACTGAATTGCCTAGCGCCTTGCTTTGATTATCCTGCCTCCTACTCCAGAGCTGCTGGGATTATAGGCGTGCACCACCGCGCCCGGCTAACTTACATAAACATTTTTGTATTGATAGACCTTTGTACTATTTAGAATCATTTGTTCTTGCAAGCAGAGAAGCAGTTAATAGCCATTTAATATATCAGAACCAGGAGTGGCGCACACCTGTAATCCCAATGACCAAAGAGGCTGAGGCAGGGTGGATTATAAATTTGAGGCCAGCCTTGGCAATTTAGGGAGAACCTGTCTCAAAAAGGACTAGGTGTGTAGCTCAGTAGTAAAGTATACATGTTTCCATCCCCATTGCTACATAAAGAAGAAAGGTATCTATACAAGACTAAATACAAAAAAGAAATTCCTGTATATGATAAAATCCTAGCTGAATCAATTATGAGCTTCATAGAATTTTTTTCAGTATTGCTTATTTTTCATTTGTGGAGTAGTTCTTTGGAGATATGTGTAGGTATACTTCACTGTTTTCATTAGCTGTATAGATACATATTACTTACCCTGTGAACAAACATTTGGGGCAAGCATTTAGGTATTTAGCCCCCCCCCCCATTTTTTTTAACTTGTACAAATAATGCTGTGATGAAAATCCTTGAAGTGGCAGTTGTATGTTTTTGTTTTTATATTTTATTTTACCCCCATGCTGGAGATGGAACACAGGGCCTCATACATGCTAGGCAAGTGCTATGTCACTAAGTCACATATCCAGATCCCAGGCCAGTTTTGTTTGTGAGACATTGTCTCAGTTGCTCACACCGACGTAAAAATAAGATGATAATCCAAAAGCTTGGGAACTACTATGTAATTTCAAGTCACTGTTTTCCTTATAAAGTAAATGATAAGTATTATTAAACAAGATTGATCATATGGGACTGGGGTTGTGGCTCAGTGGTGGAGCACTTGCCTCACATGTGTGAGGCACTGAATTTGATTCTCAACACCACATATAAATGAATAAAGGACTACATAAATAAATGAATAAAATAAAGGTCCATGAACCACTAAAAAAATAAAATAAAATCAGCCTATCCACACTTAAAAAAAAAAAAGATTGATTACATGGCTGTTTGAGGTGGCACACACCAGTATTCCAAGCTACTTTCAATGCTGAAGCAGGAGAATCTCAAGTTTGAGCCCAGCTTCAGCAACCTAACAAGACTTTAATCTCAAAATACAAAAAAAGGGTTGGGGATATAGCCCAGTGGTAGTGTGTCCCTCAAAAAAAAAAAAAAAAAAAGAATATATATATATATATATATATATATATATATATAAAAGGAAACATTGGAATATCAAGTATTTTTCTTTTTCACTTTTTTTTTATTGGTGCATTATAGCTGTACATAATATTGGGATTTGTTTGTAATGTGTATGCACACAACACAACAGTATAGTTTGGCCAAAATCATTCCCCATTATTTCTCTTTTTTCACCTCTGTTTCCTTCCCCCTCATCCCTTTAGTTTACTGGTCTCTCTTTGATTTTCATGAGACCATCCATTTTCCTTTTTTCTCACTAGCTCCTACATATGAGAGAAAAAACATACAACCCTTGACTTTCTGAGTTTCATTTATTTCGCTTAATATTATGTTTTCAAGTTCTATCCATTTTCCTGCAAATAACATTATTTCATTCATCTTTATGGTTGAATAAAACTCCATTTTGTGTGTGTGTGTGTGTGTGTGTGTGTGTATCACATTTTCTTTATCCATTTGTCCATTGATGGACACCTAGGCTGGTTTCATAGTTTGACTGTTGTGAATTGTGCTGCTATAAACATGAGTAAGCTTGTATCACTGTAGTATAATTAATTCTTTAGGATATATATGCAGTGGTATAGCTGGGTTATTTGGTGGTTCCATTTGTAGTCTTAAGAAAGCTCCATACTTATTTCCATAGTGGTTATATTAATTTAAAAATCCCACTTACTGTATAAAATTGTTCCTTTTTCTCTAACCTCTCCAGCTTTTGTTGTTTGTACTTTTTTTCACTTTTTGTTTTTTATTTAATTTTTTTTTTTTTTTTTTTTTTTAGGTACCAGGGATTGAACTCAGGGGCACTCAACCACTGAGCCACATCCCAGCCCTAGTTTGTATTTTATTTAGAGACAGGGTCTCACTGAGTTGCTTAGAGCCTTGTCATTGCTGAGGCTGGCTTTGAACTCAGGATCCTCCTGTCTCAGCTTCCTGAGCCACTGGGATTATAAGTGTGCGCCACCACGCCTGGCTCACATTTTTAATTGTGCATTACAGGTGTATATACTGATGGGATTTGTTGTTACATATATGTATGCATTATAACAATATAACTTGGCCAGTATCACTTCCCAGTACTTCCTCTCTCCCCACCTCCCATCCATTGGTCCCTTTACTGATTTCCATGAGATCTGCCCCCAACTTTCTTTCCCTTTTCCTCTCTAAGCTTCTGCATGAGAGAAAACATGCAACCCTTTACCTTCTGAGTTTGACTTATTTCACTTAACATAATAGTCTCTAGTTCCACTTATTTTCCTGCAAATGACAATTTCAGGATATATAAATATAAAATATATATTATATATAATATATAATATTATATATTATATATATATATAATATTATATATATTAAATATATATTATATATATTTTAAATATTTATTTTTTAGTTGTAGTTGGACACAATACCTTTATTTCACTTATTTATTTTTATGTGGTGCTGAGGATCGAACCCAGGGTCTCACACGTGTGAGGCGAGTGCTCTACCAATGAACCACAACCCCAGCCCCACACTGTGTATATATTTATCTATTTATCTGTTGATGGACACCTAAGCTGGTTCCATAGTTTGGCTCTTGTGAAGTGTGCTGCTGTAAACATGAGTATGCCTATATTACTGTACTATGATGACTTTAAATTCTTGAAGATACCATGGAGTGGTATATACCATGGTATATACCATATATACCATGGTATATACGATGATGACTTTAAATTCTTGAAGATACCATGGAGTGGTATAGCTGAGTCATATGGTGGTTCCATTCCTAGCCTTTTGAGGAAACCCTTACTGCTTTCCATAGCAGTTGTTATTATTATGTGTATTCTTGAGAACTGCCATTCTGACTAGTGTTGAGTTTTGATTTGCATTTCCCTAATTGGTAATGATGTTGAATATTTTTTTCGTGTATATATTGGCGATTTGTATTTCTTCTTTTGAGAAGTGTTTGTTGAGTTCATTTGCCCATTTATTGATTGCGTTATTTGGTTTTTTGGTGTTTAGTCTTTTGAATTATTTATATACTCTGACTATTAATCGTCTGTTAGAAAAATAGGCAAGATTTTCCCCTGTTTTGTTGGTTCTCTTCACATTCTTGTTTTGTTTGCTATGCAGAAACTGTTTAATTTGATGCCATCCCATTTATTACCCCTAAGCATTATTTCCTGAGCTTTAGGGTTACCATTGAATAAGTGGTTGCCTGTGCTATATATTGGAGTATTGAAATGTTTTCTTCTAGGAGTTGGTTAGTTTTTGTTCTAATTCCTACTTCTTTTGATTCATTTGAATTGACTTTTGTACAGGACGAGAGAGGATCTAATCTCATTTTTCTACACATGGATATCAGTTTTCCAAGCATCCTTTGTTAAAAAAATTGTCTATTCTCCAGTGTATGTTTTTGGCATTTTCATCAAGGATCAGATGCCTGTAGATGTGTAGGTTTACTTGAGTATCTTCTGTACCATTGGTCTATGTGTCTGTTTTTATATGAGTACCATGCAGTTTTTGATTCCCAAGTATTTTATTGGTTTTTTTTGAGGCTATTGTGAATTGGGTAGTTTTCCTAATTTCTCTTCCAGTGGCTTCTTTGCTTATGTATAGAAATGCATTTGGTTTATGGGTAATGATTTTATATCCTGCTGAATTCATTTATTCTAGAAGTTTTATGGTATTAGGCGTAGGGTCTTTGTTCTAGTGCCTAAGTCTTTGATCCACTTTGAGTTGATTTTATGCAGGCTGAGAGTGAGAGAGGTTTAATTTCATTTTGTTTCATGTAGATTTCCAGTTTTCCCAGTCCCATTTGTTGAATGGGCTATCTTTTCTCTAGTGTATGTTTTCGATGCCTGTGTCTAGTATAAGAAAACCATATTTATGAGGGTTTGTCTCTGTCTTCTATTTTGTACCTTTGGTCTACATTTCTATTTTGGTGTTAATATCATGCTGTTTTGTTGTTATTGCTCTGTAGCATAGTTTAAGGTCTGGTATTGTGATATCTCTTGCTTCACTCTTCTTGTTAAGGATGGCTTTGATTTATTCTGGGTCTCTTATTTTTCCAAATGAATTTCATGATTGCTTTTTCTAGTTCTATGAAGAATGTCATTGGGATTTTAATAGGAATTGCATTAAATCTGTAAAACAGTTTTAGTAGGATGGCCATTTTGACAATGTTAATTTGCCTATCAAAGAGCATGGGAGATCTTTCCATCTTCTAAGGTCTTCTTCAATTTCTTTCTTTAGTGTTCTGGAATTTTCATTGTAGAGGTCTTTCACCTCTTTTGTTAGATTGATTCCAAAGTATTTTTTTTTTACCATGCAATTTTTGTTACTACAACCCTGTAGTATAATTTGAAGTCAGGTATTGTAATACCTCTAGCACTGCTTTTTGCCTTAGAATTGCTTTGGTTATTCTGGGTGTTTTATTCTTCCAAATGTATTTTAGAACTATTTTTTCTAGTTCTGTGAAGAATATTATTGGTATTTTTATGGGGATTGAATTGAATCTGTAAATTGCTTTTGGTATAATAGCCATTTTAATAATAATAATTCTGCCAATCCATGAATATGGAAGGTCTTTCCATCGTGTGTCTTCTTCAGTTTATTTCTCAAGTGTTCGATAGATTTCATTGGAGATATCTTTCACCTCCTTAGTTAGATTTATTCCTAGTTTATTTTTTGAGACTATTGTGGAAAGGATTGTTTTTCAGATTTCTTTCTCTGTAGATTCATTACAGGTGTATAGGAAAGCTATTTATTTTCATACATGATTTTGTAACCTGCTCCTTTAGCTTTAGCTATCTTCTGAAGCTTCTCTAAATATAGAATCCTTTCTTTTGCCAAAGTGGTAATCTAAATACTTATTTTGAATTCAGGAGACATCTGTGAAGACACCTTTTCTTAATCCTTCATGTTTTCTCATCTCTGACTATTATGCTGTTGCTTCAAAGGTAAGTTACATAAATGTATTTACATGATTCTTTATTTTCTCTTTGTTCTAAAACAGTAACCAGTGATTTCAAATAGATTATGACATCCATAACCTAAATCCAAACTTCTGAGTTTGTTTTTTTTGTTAGTGCTGGGATTGAACCCAGGGTCTTGTGCATGCTAGGCAAGCACTCTACCAACTGAGCAATATCTCCAGCCCTCAAATCCAAACTTCTGAGTCATTCAGACTGAAATAGGAAATAAAACTTTCAGCTTTTTTTTTTTTTTTTTTTTGGTACCAGGAATTGAACTCAGGGGCACTCAGCCACTGAGCCACTTCACCAACCCTATTTTGTATTTTATTTAAAGACAGGGTCTCACTGAGTTGCTTAGTACCTTGCTTTTGCTGAGGCTGGCTTTTAACTTGAGATTTTCCTGCCTCAGCCTCCAGAGCCACTGGGATTACAGATGCACACCATTGCACCCAGCAGCTTTTTGCTTTTTAAAAAAGTATTCTCTCGGGCTGGGGCTGGGGCTCAGCTGTATCGCACTTGCCTGGCATGTGTAAGGTACTGGGTTTGATTCTCAGCACCACGTAAAATAAATAAAGGACTATCAACAACTGAAAAATAAAAATTAAAAAAAAAAGTATTCTCTTTTTTTTTTAATTGCTTTTATTTTTTAAATACATGACAGCGGAATGCAAAAGTATTCTTTTTTATTCTCACAGTTTCCTAATGTAGTACATTCATGTATCACTTGAGAGGGATATGTTCTGGGAAATACTCAGGAAGTTCCATCTGTTGTAAACATCATAGAATGCTTATACAAACTAATACAACTCTAAGTATCATTAGGCCAATATCAACTTACAGAACTACTGTGGCATATGCAGTCTATCAGTGACTAAAATGTGGTATGTGACACCTCACTATTAATAAAATGCCTATGACTAGAAAATTGCCCTTTGTATGCCATTTTTCAGTGATCTCAATAAACTGACATCCAGGTCATGATTTATGTAAAATCACATGACAGCTAAAAGCCTAAACCTTAGAATTCATCTTTGCTCAGGCCCTGATTAGATGTGTCACCTGAAGCAGCTTCAGATCCTTCAGATTCTTTCCTGAACCATCAACTCTACCTCACAGGATGTCTTGAGAGAGACAGCTATTAAGCATCTTGTAGATTTGGTGACAGATCTGTATAGGGTTGTTTAAAAAATGTTACCACTCTGGGTTTGGGGTTGTAGCTCAGTGGTAGAGCACTTGCCTAGCATGTGTGAGGCGCTGGGTTCAATCCTCAGCACCACATAAAAATAAATAAATAAAATAAAGGTATTATGTCCGTCTACAACTAAAAAATAAAAAAGAAAAAAAAATGTTACCACTCTGACAAAGAAGCTTTGAAAATAGCAATGACTTCTGCCAGAGTCCTACCATCATAACATATATTATTAAGTTGTTGACTTAGCCAATCTTAGATCCCCTATAATCAATCAAACTACTTAAATACTATTGATAAGTATTATACTAATAACTACTTTCCATATAAGTATAAATAAGTAATTTTTGGTTTTCTCCCAAATAATTTGTTTACAAGACATTGGTAAACACTGAAAACTTCATAAAATTTAATAATGTAACTTTATAAATAAAACATCAACATAGAATAGTAGTAAATTTCTTATAGAAAATATAGAAAAAGTTTGATTAAGCTACCTCTTAACATTGAAAACACAATTTATTGCTCAAGATGTAGAAACATGTATACAATTCTCTTTCAGAGCCTTTTTTTGTGGTGTTAGGGATTGAACCCAAGGTCTGTACATGGCAGGCAAGTACTCTACCACTGAACTACATCCCCAGCCTCCAAGTCTCTTGATTTGGAAATCTCTCAGTTCTAATTCCAGCGGGTTCATCTTCAAGAAATACCTGATGGTAAAGAATGGGCTCTCTTAAGAGTTCTTGTGTTATTTGGATCTAGTTGAGGTTGCTGAATTGAACAAATGCAGCCCACAGAATTAATAATTTGGACACTTGAATGTACAGGATCATGTAAAAGAGAGAATTCTGATGTTTTAGGCCAGAGGTTTTTGAGTAGAAAATTCTCTTTCATCAGATTTTTGTTTTTATTCTCTTTTGAGGCAGTGTCTTTTTCTTCCAGTGCCCGAGCAAGCATGTAACTAACTTTTCTTTGATGAGCCAGCGCTTCTTCTTTATCATTTAACTGCATGCAGAGAAATTAAAAATATAATGGTTAGTCAATAAGTCAGAATATAATCAGAAAAAGGAGTGTCCATATTTTATCAAAATATTCAACTCTAAATCTGTCCAGTCAATCTGTATAAGTTGTCACCTGATGCCTAAGTATTATGCTACATTTGAGGATTGTTTTCAAAAAGAAAAACAGAAGACAGTATTACTTTTTTTTTTTTTTTTGGTACTGGGGATTGAACTCAGGGGCATTAAACCAGTAAGCCACATCCCCAGTCCTATTTTGTATTTTATTTAGAGACAGGGTCTTGCTGAGTTGCTTAGAGCCTCACTGTTGCTGAGGCTGGCTTTGAACTCGCAATCCTCCTGCCTCAGCCTCCCTAGCCATTGGAATTATAGGTGTGTGCCACCGTGACCAGCCAAAATAGTATTACTTCTATTGAAAATTTTATAAGTCATCTAGATGCAGGAGAAATGTGTGTGTGTGTACAATATATCAACATTTATTTCTAAAAGAATATTGTTATTCATAAATTGTTTTTATAGATTTATATGCAAATGAGTATTAAAAGTCCTTAGAGTTAAAGTATATTTAAAAACACCTCAGTCACTCATCTTATCTGCAATGGGGATAACAATAATTTCAGGGTTTTGGTAAAGATTAAAAAATATCGTATGTGAGGAAGTGCCTTGAATCTTAAGTGATATTTGTGCCTTATCGTGATATTTACATGTAAATGCAGGCGACTGAGCTGGCTGAAGGAGGGAGTTTCAGAGGTGGAGCTTTAAACATGAGTAAGAGAAATGGAAAGAGTATGAGTTAAGGAGATGGTCACATGAATTTGGAGAATGCTATCCTAAAATAGGAAAAGGGCATAAAAGAAAAGTATAGAGAGATGAAGTGCTGAATTAGTAAGAGGCAGAAGAGACTGGCTTAACCACAACCTCTAATAAAAAGAAAGCAAAGGTTACTAACCAGATCTATTAGCATCCTAAAAACTGCTTGAGGATCATCCTGGTCTTCAGTTCTCTTAGAACTGTTTTCTGAAGGCAACATATCCAACAGTTTCTGCCCTAAGGTCTTCTTACTCCTTTGTGATGAATCTCCTAAAGAACATGAAAACACAGCTGAGACAAAAATGTGTTCATTGAAGTATTTCCAGTAAGGAGATAACTGTGAACCAACATTAATTTCTAAATCAGTCCACACATTGTCCTCTTCAAGAGGCCACTGGGACATGTGAGTCTCCTGAAAAAGATAATGTAGTGGTAGGAGCATGGACTTGAGAGCCAGGAGGGCATCTGCAGGTGACAGGGCCACCACTGAAAAACCCAGGGCCTGTCCTGCCTTTTTATAGCATAGTTGCTCTTTAGCACCAGCTGTTGGCTGTGAGAGAATGCAGTCCATGTCAGAGTAGCCAAAATCACAGATTGAATGGCAAATCTCTCAATGTTAAATATCAGCCGCTAACCACATGATTTGAAAAAACAATGCAGACCCAACAAAAATGTCTGCAGACCACAGAGGCCTCTGAACCATGCTAACGCTGGAGCCAAAAAGACCTGAGCTCAAATCCTTGTTTAGCCAACTTACTAATGAAGTTTTGGATGAGTTTTCTGAGCTTCATATTCTTCACCTCTAAAATGAAAATAATATTACCTACTTCTGAATTTCCTGTGCCATAAATGATTGTTTTTTTAATATTTTTAGTTGTAGATGGACACAATACCTTTATTTTATTTTTATTTTGATGCCACTTAAAAATGACAATTACTCAGTGAGACTCTGTTTCTAATAAAATACAAAAATTGGGCTGGGGATGTGGCTTAGTGTTTGAGTGCCCCTGAGTTCAATCCCTGGTACCCACCCCCCCAAAAAAAAGTAAAAGGAAAAAAATGGCTGAAGGAGCTCGTGCTCATGGATGGGAGAAGGATTAAAGATTGAGTTGATTATCAATGTCCAGTGATTGATAATGGAGCCTCCATAAAAATCCCAAAGGACTGGGTTTGAGAAATTTGTGGATAGCTGAATATGTGTGCAGGCTCCTGATGGGTAGCATGTCCCAGAAGGGTACAGACATTCTGTGCCCCTCCCCACATGCCCTATGCATCTCTTCCTTCTGGCTGTTCATCTGTATCTTTGTAATATCCTTTTATTTTAATCTTATTTTTTTTTTTTTGTCTTTTTTGGAATTGGGGGTCGAACCCAGGGCTTTGCGAATGCAAGGCAGACACTTTGCCATTGAGATACATCCCAGCCCTCCTTTTTTTTTTTAATATTTATTTTTTAGTTTTAGGTTGGCACAATGTCTTTAATTTATATTTATGTGGTGTTGAAGATTGAACCTATGCATGCTAGGCGAGCGTCTACCACTGAGCCACAACCCTAGCACCTGTAATATCCTTTATAATTAACCACTAAATGTGTTTCTTAGAGTTCTATAAGCCATCCTAGCAAACTAATTGAACCCACAGAGGTGGTCATAAGGAATCCAATTCACTGAGAAATATTAGTTAATAACCTACTTTTATTGACTGGCCTCTGAATGGGGGCAAACTCATGAGACTTGAGCCTTTACACTGTGGAATCTGACGTTAGTAGATACAGTCAGGGTTGAGTTATACTGCAGGACCTGTTGGGTGATGTCCAAGGGAGAACCAATTGCTTAGTGTGTGGGGACATCCCCAACACTTTTGGTGTCAACTGCTGTAGTGAGTGGTGTGTGAAACATTTTGATTTTTCCTACTTCTTACATTAAGCAGAATTCTGGAATATAAAATAGGCACATACTCAAGTGCTGAATGAATATGACTCCACCTCTTAAGAAAATCCCAATTTTGTCTATGAAGCAACATCCTAATGGCCCAACCTCCCCGCAGAGTTGGGTCCACTGTTGCAGGTGACAGAGTAACAGGCTTTCCTAAGATTCCTTTGGTCCTGCTTTCTCCTTTTCTTCTCTCTCCCTCAATATTCCTTTTCCAACAGAATAAAAAAGTAATTAACATCCGATTTCCAAAGGAATCTGACTTCACTTAACCCAGAACACCATAGCTGTCTACACTTTGAAAATCATGCTCTTTTCAAGGGCTTAGCTGAGAAGAAAAGTGTCTGAGGAAGATCACTCTCAACAGTTGTCCATGGTGGAACTAAAATTCTTTATGTTTTCTGTTGATGCCTAGCTAGAAGTCTAAATACACGGACCATGTCAGCTTTTTTCCCCTAGCAAAATCACCTACCTTGAGTTAAACATTAAGGTAGACCTTCAACTTTTATAAAGGAATTATTATAGAAAATAGACATAGATATTAATTTTGTATTTATTATAAATTATTGTAGCCAGGTGCGGAGGCACATGCCTAAAATCCCAGCAACTCAGGAGGCTGCAGCCGGACCATTGTAAGTTCAAGGCTGCCCTCAGCAAGACCCTGTGTCTAAATAAAAAATATAAAAAGGAGAATAAAGCTCAGTGGTAAAGCAACTCAGGATCAATCCCCAGTACCAAAAATAAATAATTGTTGAGGATTTAGCTTTTATATTTGCTCAGTGGACTCTGAAAGCCTCATGTCAGTGACGCTTTTGGAATCTAATTTCAGGACAATGTGACGCCTTTTTTGGAAATGAGAGTTGTGGGATATTCTATTTTCCCTGTAGCCCTAACTTCTACCTGATGAACACTCTAAAGGTATAGCTTTTATGATTTGCTTTTCTGTCTTTCGTAGTTCTAACTACTTATCTTCTCATTATCCTTACAAGCCACTTACCTTTTCATCAAGAGAAGAAGGGGTAAAGTTTAACTAGTGAAGCTACAATTCACAATAGTTGACTTATATGGTATTACTTATGTATACTGATGGAAAAATATTTCAAGTGAAATTGATATCTACTATTGAATTTTTTATTTTTATTTTTTTGATATGAGGGCACTCTACCATTGACCTTCATCCCCAACCCTTTTTATATTTTGAGACAGGGACTTGCTAAGTTGCTACGGCTGGCCTCAAACTTGTGATGCTCATGCCTGAGCCTCCAGAGCATCTGGGAGTATAGGGGTGCAACACCTTATCCAACTCAATTTTTAAATAAATCACAAACAACTACATGTGAAATTTCAATTCTATTCATCTACTCTGGATTAACTGTGTTTCATCAACTTTGATTATAACCCAAAACAACTGAATTTACACCTCATTATTTATGGTCATTATGATTCATAGTTACCATCCTCTTTAAGGTGCTTCCAATTTATCTGTTTCGTTGCTTTTTTACACATTTTATCCATTTGTGTCAATCTTAGTGCCTGGTCATTTTTTCTCATTAATTGTTGCTCAAATGCAATTCTGAATGCATCTGCCATTGTGTAAGCTTCTTCTTTACTCTTCTGCAAAAGTTCCAACTGGTTTTGAAAGAAAGTTCAGGAAGTGTCAGAGGCAAAACCAAAATAGTTTTTGCCTGTACTGAATGTTGAATCAAATTAACATATGCAGTCTCCCTGTCTAATACTGATCTATTGCTGGTATTGATTTAGTTTACCTGCTTAAACTAAAATTACCACTTGCTGATTCTAGAGCCTACTATGATCTGGATTATCAGTAGTTTCCCCCTTGGCGCCTTTCAACTATTTGCTAATCCAGTTCTTGGAATTTTCTACCCTAGACAAGCTCTATGAATGTACTACCCAAATCCCAGGAGGAAGGACTCAACTAGAATTAGAAGGCAAGATGTCAAAGGCTGCATTTTAATTTGGCGTTGGGCCACAGCAAACACCACTGAACACCTCTGGAATACCTCCCAGAGCTTATCACAACTGTGATACATGTAAATGTATACTTTTCTTAGTGAATTGTTAATGTTTAGCTGTTAGCTTGCCCATGTTTTCTAAAGGCTCTGAATTCCATTCCTTAAAAAAAATAGTAAAACATTTTAAAAATTATGGGTCATGTACAAGATTTATAATAAAAGCCCAATTATAACAACAACTATCACTTCATTAAGTGGCACACTCATGGCACTGTGCTAAACATAATATTTCCATTTCCTCTTCTCACTACAACCCTCTAAGGTAGTTACTACCCTCTGTTTAAAATAGAGAAAACTGAGACATCCTGCCCACACTGCAAATAACTGGAGCTAAGGTGCACCCCTAAGTCTGGCTGGCACAAAGTCTGTACCTGGTTGCTTTTCAAGTAATCTCCACGTTTATCTCCCTATTAATCAGGGTTACTGTTACTAATTCCTAGAGATATTAAGCATAAATACAACTTTTCCTTCTATTTTATAGTAATTTTAAGACCATATATAATTGAGAAAAATACAAATTTAGGAAACATTAACTATTGCCTTAGGCAAATGACTACGTGGCTTCAAATATCATACCAAGTACTATTTATATTGGAATCAAGTAAACAAAGTCTCATTTATAAATTAATGCTGTCATATAAAGCTAACTATAAGTTCCACAGCCAAAGGCTACTAAGAGGAATTACTGCATATACCTCCATTTATTCTATTAATAGAAAAAGAATCAAAGCTTCTGCTATTGTGATAATGCAATACCTCGTTTTTGAGCTGAAGAACCAGTTTATGAGTGGATGCTGCCATTCTGGCACAAGAACAGGGGCTCCCTCCAGGACCATGACAAAGGCAGGCTCCAAGGATTGCAAGCTTAAAACCCAAAAGCATTACCCATGTTACTAAGTGTCACACTGTTTTAGCTGTACACAATGCAGGGCACCCCCACATACCCACACATACTACTATTCAAGCATCTGATCCAGAATCAAAGGGAGAAAAAACAGGAGCCTATTCAAGATTGTAACAGAAGATTTCCTGAATTTTTTCTCAGTTGATTTTATTTTCCTTTCTGCTATACAGGTTGAGTATACCATATCTGAAATGCTTGGGACCAGAAATTTTTCAGAATTGGATTTTTTGGGGCTGGGGATTTGGCTCAAGCTGTAGCGCGCTTGCCTGGCATGCGTGCGGCCTGGGTTCGATCCTCAGCACCACATACAAACAAAGATGTTGTGTCCACCAAAAACTGAAAAATAAATATTGAAATTCTCTCTCTCTCTCTCTCTAAAAAAAATGGTCAAATTTATAAAAAAAAAAAAAAGAATTATGGATTTTTTTTGGAATTTGGAATATTTGAATATACATAATGAGCTATTTTGAGGACAGGATCCAGTTCTAAACCAAGAAATTCATTTATTTTTTATGTACACTTTAGACATAGCCTGTGGATAATTTAAAAAAAATTTTTTTTAGTTGTTAATGGACCTTTATTTTATTTATTTATTTATATGCAGTGCTGAGGATTGAACCCAGTGCCTCAGACATGCTAGGCAAGCGCTCTACCACTGAGCACAACCCCAGCCCATCTGTGGGTAATCTTATACAATTATATTTTTCATGCACCTTCATTCTAACTGCCAGTTCCCTCTGAGGAGACTGCATACTCAGAAATGTTACATGAAGCTGGGCGTGGTGGTGCACATCTATAATCCCAGCAGGAGGATTCAAGTTCAAGGCCACCCTCAGAAACTTAGAGAGACCTTGTCTCAAAAAATAAAAAGGGCTGGTTAATGTGGCTCAGTGGTAAAGTGCTCCCAGGTTCAATCCCCACTTAAAAAAAAAAAAAAATGAGCTCAGGACCTTTGAACCTCACTAGCCAAACACCCACACTAGAACCATTAGCAGATCTTCATTCTGATCCTGGCTCAACCACAGGCTATATCGTCACCTTGGGAAAGTAAATGAACTTGTCTAAGTTTTAGACTGATAATACCCACTTTGTAGCCCTCAGAGACAACTATAAAGATGAGATAAAATAATGTGTGAAAGTTCTCACATTGTAAGCCCTTGCCCAGGAGTGAGACACTATTTGACACAGCTTCTGCTGCAGTTGTAAAAATAAGAAATAAATGAGGTGAGAAGCAGCCAGCACACCCTTAATGTCCAAGAATGTCATGCCTGAAGGTCATGGTAGCAGCAAGGTGTGAAAAACTGACCTCTGCAAATCCTTGGGCCTCTCTCACCTTTAGTCTCAAATTGCTAAGTACAGTGCCATCTTTGAACAGGTACCAAGAAAGAGGAAAATAGAAAATCTTCTTCCCACCTGTTCAGCTTCCTTACATACATACCTACCTCAAGACCTGACACCTCTGTAAAGTCATTTTTATCCCGGCACATGTTTTCCTGAGCCATCTTCTGCTGTTTTATATCAAGTATGGCGAGGGCCTCCAAGTATTGTTTATTCAAAACTAGGAAAGCCATACAGGAGAATGTTAGTTATGAATCTAGCCTCATCTAATCTGGCTACACCAGATCAGATATAGTCATTTCTTCTGAGCTACATATATACAACTGACAGATTTGGGGCTCCGTCCAAAAAACCTACTGATTGAATAGCAAGTATCATGTGAAATAACATACAATACTAGAAAAAATTTTTTTGGACCAGAGATTAAACTCAGGGGTGCTTAACCACTGAACCACTTCCCCAGTCCTTTCTATATTTTATGTTGAGACAGGGTCTCACTAAGTTGCTTAGGGCCTTGCTAAGTGGCTGAGACTGGCTTTGAACTTGCCATCCTCCTGCCTCAGTCTCCCAAATTGCTGGGATTACAGGAATGCACCACTACACCCAGAAAAAAAAAAAGTTATTTTTAATACCAAAGCATCTTAACTTTGAATCCCAAATTTGATCCTTGTTGGCTCTGGGAAAATTTGTAGGATTTTAAAAAAGGGAACATGTAAAGGCAAATTATTCAGAATCTGCAGATAGTAGGAGAAATGGATGATGAGATCTCATATATTATATTCATGTTGAATGTACCAGCTGCCACACTTTACCAGATTTTTCCCTATTAAAAGTTTTCATGGGCTGGGGTTGTGGCTCAGCGGTAGAGCGCTCGCCTAGCACATGTGAGGCCCTGGGTTGGATCCTCAGCACCACATAAAAATAAATAAAATAAAGGTATCGTGTCCACGTACAACTAAAAAATAAATATTAAAAAAAGTTTTCATAAGAGGCTCTCAAACTACACATTTAGAACATGAAGGATCCTGCTATCTGCTGGAGAGCAGAAAATAGTACCTTCCTCCTCATGCTATAGTAGGGGCAGGGAAGTAGGAGAGGTTGTGAGTAGCAGCTTCTATACTGACCTAATCTAACACAGGCCACAGCTTTATGGGTTCAACTGCCTGAAACACCATCTGTGTGTGCAGATCTCACCCAGAGATGTTTATACACCTCTGTCACACATGACAGAGAGGCCTCTCAGTCCTGGGGGATGATTTAGAGCTTGTTTTGTCCCCTTCAAGCCACCACTTAGTTTCTGCTAAGGGAGAATTAACATCTTCTCTGAAAAATTTGTAAAAAGTTGGTACCACTTTAATGCTCTTCTAATTTTCATTATATAATGGATATATATTTTTATATATGTGCATACATTTGTGTGTGTGTGTGTGTATTTTGTTTTTCTACTTGGGTTCCTCAAGCATCATGCTCTACTGTTTTACTTTACACTAAAACTAAATAAAAATAAGGAGTAAGGAGAAATGGTTTAATGGGTAGAAGGTTTTTGTGTGTGTGTGTATAGTGCTGAGGATTGAACCCAGGGCCTTGTGCATGCAAGGTAAGCACTCTACCAACTGAGCTCTATTCCCAGCTCTAATGGGTACAAGCTTTTACTTTGGAGAGCTCCAATGTTTTGGAAATAGAAGTGGTTTGGCTACACAGTATTGTCAGTGCCACTGAATTTCTCTTTTAAAATGATAAATTTTATGTTGGGTGGATTTTGAGCTGATAAAATTTTAAATTTAAGAAACCTCAATGATGCATTTCTTCCTTTGATTATCCTTAAAACATATTACTTAAAAATACTAGCATTTTGTTTCTATTATGTGTTCTTACTACATAATACTCTACACAAAACTAATCTTTTTTAATATTTTTGAGTTATAGATGGACACAATATCTTTATTTTGTTTATTCATTTTATGTGGTGCTAAGGATTGAACCCAGTGCCTCACCTGTGCAAGGCAAGTACTCTGCCACTGAGCCATAACCTCAGCCCTGCAAAACTAATCTTTAAACATAATATTTTAAAAGAATCATCAGAAGACCACACTTTACTTACTTGCTTGTTCAGACTTTAGCATTTTAATTTCTTCTGTTTTCAGTTTCAGATTCTCTTTGAGAACTGCATTTTCACAGTTTAGTCTGGAAAAAAGCACCCTTCAAATAACTAAAACATTATCACTTCCTGAATGAGAATAATTTTGTTTCTATAATTAGAACATAAAAACCTAAATATAATTTTTTCTGCTTTAAAGGGCTGGGGATGTAGCTCAGTGGTAGCGCACTTGCCTCGCATGTCTGAGACCCTGGGTTCAGTCCTCAGAATTGAAGAAAAAAGGAGTTTAAAGTATATTTTTAAATTTTGAGATAGGGTCTTGCTAAGTTGCTGAGGCTGGCCTTGATTCTCCTACCTCAGCCTCTCAAGTACCTAGGATTATAAGCATGTGCCACCATACCCTGTCATATATATTTAAAAAAAAAAAATAGAAAGGCAGAAAAGTAACAAAAAACAAGGAACCATTAAGCAGTAAGAATTTTATAATATTTACAGTTAGCTTAAAGAAGAAAGCCTAAACTACATTTGAATTAATGCATTTTAAAGATTCTTTTTTTCTTTCTTTTTTTTTTTTTTCTGATACCAGGGATTAAATTCAGGGGCACTCAACCACTAAGCCACATCCCCAGCCCTATTTTGCATTTTATTTTGAGACAGGATCTCACTAAATTGCTTAGGGATTTGCTAAGTTGCTGAGGCTGGCCTCAAACTTGCAATCCTCCTGCCTCAGCCTCCCTAGTCACTGGGAGGTGTGTACCACCATGCCCAGCAGTGCATTTTGAGGCCCTGGGTGTGATCCTCAGTGTTGTAAAGAATAAAATATTATACAAACCTTTCATATTTTTGGGTCCACGATTCCTCTATATTTTTAAATCTATTCTGATCAAATTCTATTTCCCACTGCAAGGCATTTATTTCCTAGGGAAAGAAAATAGCACTTTCATGGAAAATTACTACAAATATATCATTTCATTTAATCATTTCGCAGAAATGGTTTAAAAAGAAAAAACGATCATTCAAAAGAGTCTTTGACATTTGTAAAAGACATTTGGTATGCCTCTTTAGCACTCAAAGAAATTTTGCTTACTTAAAATTCATTTAATATAAAAAAAATTTCAAATTGTTTGAGTTAAAAATTTGCTGGACTGCACACAGATTTCTCAGTGCCTACCCCTGCCCCATGCAGACAGTATAAGCAAAATTCACTCCTGGAATCTCAGCCTAAATGGCCCTATCAGGTGTGCAACAGTCACAGAAAAGTGATCATCTAGAATGATCCCTAGTGACTTTTACTGTGGTCGTTTATTATTATTGCCAGAAAGATGCAGACCCTGACAAGGAAGTAGAGGAATAAAAAAGGAGAGAAAAATAGGAAGTATCAATTTGGCAGGCTTTCAACTATCATAAATGGAGAAATAAAAGAAACTAACTTTTTACCCATGTGACAATCTGTTTTAGATTGCTCCCAAAGGGAAGACTATCAGAGATTGAAGCATACCTGGAGAGTATGCACAAATGGCATATCCAAAGTATGGTGAGTTTAAGAAAATCCTATTTAAATCTTATTGGATTGAATAAGTCTATGCTAAAAATGCAAATACCTTCTCCAAGGATTTCTTTTGCTCCATAGTTTTTTGAAGCATTGCCTGGGTATGACTTGTGGCTTTGCCAAATACTGCCTATAGAAAATAAAAATAGCACGAGTATAAATCAAATTTCTTTTCTTATTTTTTAAAATTTTTTTTTGCAGTTGTAGATGAACAGCATGTCTTTATTTTATTTGTTTATTTTTATGTGGTGCTGAGGATCAAACCCAGTGCCTCCTACATGTGCAAGGCAAGCACTCTGCCACTGAGCTACAGCCCCAGCCCTCTTTATTTTTTTTTAAGTTTTTATTTTATTTATTTATTTTTATGTGATGCTGAGGATTGAACCCAGTGCCTCACACAGACTAGGCAAGTGTTCTATCCCTGAGCTACATCCCAGCCCTTTTTATTTTTTGTTTTGAGACAGGGTCTCACTAAGTTGCCCAGATTGATCTCAAACTTTCATTCATCCTGCCTTAGCCTTCCAAGTAACTGGGTTATAGGCATGCACTACCATACCAGGCTAAACTAAATTACAGTCACTCTGATATGCACAATGAAGTATAATATTTTATACACAATGAATGTGAACTTCATTAATTCTTAAGAGTTTCACACTGACAGTCTCCCCCTACCCTACCCCAGTTCTGGAGTGTGAACCCAGGGATAGTATACTACTGAGTCATATCTGTGGCCATTTTTCTTTTTTATTTTGAGACAGGAGATAGCTAAGTTGTTTAAGACCTCACTAAGTTGTCCAGGCTGGCCTTGATTTTCCTGCCTCAGGAGGCAGTGGCACATGCCTATGGATTACAGGCATGTGCCACTGTGCCTGGCTCATATTGACAAACTTTTGTGGAACATTTGATATCTCAAATGTCAGAAGAGTTTGATTTGATTCTTTCCCAATAAATGTGGGAATGAATGAATGAATACACACAGAAACTGTACACAGCAGTATTATTCATCATAGTTAAAAAGAAGAAACAACCCACATATTCATCAACCAGTAAATGTATAAATAAAATGTGGTATGACTGTACAATATTTTTGTTTGTTTGTTGTATTGGGGATTGAACCAAACTGAGGATTGCTTGACCTCTGAGCCATAATCCCTAGCCCTTTATTTTTAATTTTGAAACAGGGTCTCACTAAGTTGCTGAGGCTGGCCTTGAACTTGTGATCTTCCTTCCTCAGTCTTCTGAGTCACTGGGAATACTAAGGCAGGTGCCACCACACCTGGCCTCACAGTGGAATTTTATTTGGCAATACAAAGGAAGAAAGTATTGATACATACTAAAACATGCGTTTACTTCAAAAACATGCTAACTAGAAGAATCCAAATGCCAGTGAATCCAGTTACCATATTGTATGGTTGTATTTGTATGAAACAGAAAAAGACAAATTTGTAAGATGATCATTGATCATCTAGGACTATGAATTGGAATGGGGAATGCCTGCTAGTGGATACAGGATTCCTTTTTTGAATGTCTGAAATGTTCTTAAATTAGACTGTAGTGATGGTTGCACAACTCCCAAGTTAGTAAAAATAAATTGTATTGCATTCTTAAAACAAGTGAAATTCTTAGTGTGAAAATTATAAAACTATGGAAAAATCTACACCTAAAAAAACTACAACACAGTTATATTAAGTACTTCTCAGTTTTTTTGTTTTGTTTGGTTTGGGTTGGTTTGGTTGGTTTGGTTTTGTTGCTGGGGATCAGCCTGCTCTTGTTTTAAATGTCAAAAATATATCACTTATTATTGGAATATGTAATTGATAAAAGTTTAAAACTAACTTCTTACCATGCTTTGAAGAATTTTCAATGCTTCCTCTTTACCTTCAAGTTGTCTTTGAGATGCCTCAAGTTCAGTTTTTAAAATTTCTACTTCCTGAGGACAAAAATAAAATTAGTCTTTCTATCTGCAAGACATATAACCCCCAAATTGTCAATTTGACTAGTTCACATTTACCCACAATACAAAGCACCTACAAACGAGGATCTAAATCCCTCTAGACTTTATAAATAAACTATTCAGGCTAAAGCTGAGAACCCAACTATCAAGCATCACTGGTAACAATAAGCCCAAATTTTTTGCTTTTACTGACTTTGGCCACATACTTAATAACATGAAAAAAATATTTAGGCCACATAAAATAAGCACATGGTGGCTATCTATTCAGCTACAGTAGCTGTTGTGGTCTGAACTGTGTCCTTGAAAAGGATATGTTCAAGTTCTAACCCTAATACCATGACTATGACCTTATCTGGAAAGGCGATCTTAGCAGATATGTTTTTTAAAAAACTTTTAGACAAATGAAACTTAACAGTTTAATTGATCAAGGAATGAGATACAAGTTGGCCAGAAGAGGTTGAGAGACCTACTCTTCAAGTTGGGCAGGCAACATTTATAGACAGAAAATGGAAATGAGGTAAAGAAAAGTTTTGATTGGTGGTTATGTCTCAAGCCTTTGCCTTATTTGGGCAGGGTACAGTCAGCAGGCAACATGTAATTGGCTGAAGCTCAGCTGCACTGATTGGCTGGGACTCAGTTGGTTATTACAAAAATATACTTTGAAATGAGGCTTTCTATTTGTTTACATAATATTACATAAAGACTCAAGGTATATAGGAAGGCTTGGGCCAAAGTTAGTTTCATTTAACAAATGTAATCAAGTTAGGATGAGGTTATACTAGATTAGGATGGGAACCAATCTGATCACTGGTGTCCTTATGAAATGAGGGAAAGCTCTGAACACAGACACACAGTGGAGAGCAATATGAGAGTCAGAGGCAGAGAATGGATTTATGGAGCTACAGGCCAAGGACTGCAACAACCACCAGAAGCCAAGAAGAAACAAAGAAGCATTTTCTTCTAGAAACTTTGGGAAGAAGAGAGTCTGCTAAAACCTTGAATCCAGGCTTCAAACCTCCAGAACTGAGAGACATTTCATTTCTGTTGTTTAAAGTCATCAGCTTGTGGTACTTTGTCACAGCAGACCTAGAGAACTTAAAGACAGCCGCTTTCATAAGAGTTTAACACTCTCTCTGTCTCTGTCTCTCACACACACACACTAAAGTGGGCTGGTTTCCCAGGGGACAGGCACCCTGTTATAAACCCCTGTGTCCACCACGCTGGGGCATTCCTCAGATCACCTGAGAGAATCTCTTGACTTCTGACTTCAAGGAGGTTAAATTTTTTTTTTTTTTTTCAGAGTAGAAATTAGAAGTTTATTAAAGGACAGCAGAAAAGACTTCTCCCGGAGGAAGAAGGGGACCCAAGAGGTGGAATCCAAGGAGGTTAAATTAAGACTGATTATTTCAAACCTCACATATAAGGAAAGCAGTTGGAAGTGATAATAATTATTATTTTTATTATTATTATATTATTATAATTATGTGATGCTGGGGATTAAACCTAAGGCCTCGCACATGCTAGATAAGTATTCTACCACCGAGCTATACCTGCATCCCTGTGATAATTATTTTCTCAAAGAGGAGATTAGAGAAATTCAAAGGGAGAACTGGTAGACATGTTTATATAAGTGGCCTTTTTAAGAGATGCACACAGGGTTGGGGTTGTGGCTCAGTGGTAGAGTGCTCACTTAGCATGCATGAGGCACTTGGGTTTGATCCTCAGAACCACATAAAAATAAAGATATTGTGTCCACCTAAAACTAAAAAAATAATAATAATAAAAAAGAGATGGGGGGATGGGGATGTGACTCGTCACATGCATGAGGCACTGGTTCAATTCTCAGCACCACATAAAAATAAAATAAAGATATTGTGTCCACCTAAAACTAAAAAATAAATTTTTAAAAAGTTAAAAAAAAAAAAAAAGAGAGAGAGATAAACACAGAAGAGGCTGATGGAAAGTATGCACTCAAGGAAAAAAAAGCCTGCGGGTAGAGTGCTTACTGGGTGTAGGTGAGGCCCTGGGTTCAATTCCCAGCACCAAAAAAAAAAAAAAAAACAAAGAAAAGAAAAATATCTGGAAAGCCAATATTGGCCTTCCATACAATTTTTGTACTAACAGAATATCTATCAGCAGACTTTATTTACATGAGAATTTTTATATTAGACCAGAGTACCTACCCCTAAAGTTTCATGAAGACGTTGCCTTAAATCTTCATTTGACAATTCTGAATTAAAACCTATTAGAAACAAAAGACACAAAACTGGAACATTTCTTTAGTTAAATATAGGACATTTATTTACAAATATTAAGTACAGTTTTTTTTTTCATAAAGGAAGAAGACTGGGATTAACCAAATAATGATAAAAGTATGTAGCCTCAGTGGTACAATACAGGCCTTGAGGATGAGGAGTAGCCCCACCCAAGCTGCAACATTCCTTATGAGCCACATTTCTTAAATTACAGTTGTTTCTCAATATTGAGGGGAATTGGTTCAGAACCCCCTAAGATACCAAAATCTGTGGATGCCCAAACCCTTATATAAAATTAGTATTTGCACATAACCCATGCACATCCTCCTATATCCTTTAAATAAAAAAAAAAAAATTTTTCTGGTACTCAAGATCGAACCCAGGTGTGCTTTATCACTGAGTCACATGAGTCTCCAGCCCTTGTTTAAATTTTGAGACAGGGTCTCACTAAATGGCCAAGTGGCCAAGTCTGACCTTGAACTTGCTATCCTCCTGCCTCAGCTTCCTGAGTGGCTGGGGTTACAGGTGTGTGCCATATTTAAATAGTTGTTATACTTACTGGGCTTTTATTTGTATTGTTTTTATCATTGTATTACTTTTTTTTTTTTTTTTTTTTGGTACTAGAGATTGAACCCAGGGGTGCTTAACCATTTTCAGACAGGGTCTCACTAAGTTGAGTAGGGCCTCACTAAATTGCTGGGCGGGCCTTGAACTTTCGATCAAGGCCTCCAAGTCACTGGGATTACAGGCATGTGCAATTGGGGCCCTGTGTGTATTGTTACTTTTTATTGGTATTACTTTTTATGATCTGCAGTTGAGGGAATGGGAAGATGTGCCACCCGTGGATTAGGAGGGCTAAAGGTATTTTTATGTTGTTTTAATTTAAATCTGTTCAACTTTCATGGGGAAAGTTTCAGGAGAGAAAATTTTACAACCTGGATTATAAAAAATTCAGCCGGACAGCAGGGAGTGCCCTGGTACAGGCATAGACCTGATTATGAATTTTATTCCTTTTCTAATCTAAAGCATAATTTCTTTATGTTAGGATAAGTTAAGTTTGGTTAGGATAAGTTAAGATTTAGTTTGTTTTGACAATTTTTGAGACTTCAGGATATCCAAAAATAATTGGAAGCATCTATCTTCTGCCTGGAACCTGCCTTTACCAGTTAGCCACCAGATTTGCTCCCCTTCAGAGAAGCCTTCCCATCCCTGGCCTGAAACAGCAGTACCCCACTTCCCCTAATCACTATCTTTTAACTTACCACTGAGAGATAGTATGCATTTGTTGATTTTTAGGTTTATTTTCTCTCTTTTTGTAGAATACATATTAGTGCCCTTGCCAGCTGTGTTCACTCATATTATTGCTAGAACTGAGACCTGTTCCTGGCACCTAATGGAACCCAAGAAGTATTTGTTGACAAAGGAAAAACAAAATAAAAGTACATCATGAAAAAGCAAAGCAGTTAATAATTTATTGATTACTAACAAAAATATTATTAAAGTATAATAACTATTGCATATTTTGTATAATAGTTGGAAATAAACGTCAGTTACTTTTGTACCAATTCAAGGTAAGAATGAATTTCTAAAATCTACTATGGTTACCTATTTTCATGCATTGGAAGGGTGACAGCACTCACAGGGAAAGGAGAGAAACTGAGCATTCTTACCAGTGCTGCTTTGTTGTCTGTAACTGGAAATCCTGGACTCTTGAAGGCAGGTGTCTTGCAAGTTCTTTTGCTTGAAATACTGAAAAATGGCTCCACTTCTCTCTTTCCCCTTTCTTAGAAATGGGGGAGGGCTAAAGTTCTTTCCATCTGATCTTTTTCTAGATGTAAGTAAATGTGAAATGTCCACTTCATAAATTCCACCAGGTCTTCTTCCGAGGCCATATCCTAGATCACCTTCTGTCATGTCATCCTCTTCTGTTCCCCAGAACTGCACCTCTGACTCACTCGATGATCTCACCACCTTGCTCATTAGCCTAATACTGTCTTTATCATAAGGAAAAACAGTAATTAAAAATCAGTCAGTAGGGCCGGGGTTGTGGCTCAGTGGTAGGGTGCCTGCCTAGCATGTGTGAGGCCCTGGGTTCGATTCTCAACACTGCATATAAATGAATTAATTAAATAAGGTCCATCAACAACTAAGTGTATATATATATATATATATATATATATATATATATATATATATATATATATATATATATAAAAGCAATCAGGAGATCCAGCAGTATCCCACTTCCAGGTATTTACCAACACATTTGGAAATCATTATGTCAAAGAGATGTCTACACTTCCAGTTTACTGCAGCACTGTTCACAATAGCCACCTTATGGAATCAAACTAAATGTCCATTAAGGGAAGAATGAATGAAGAAAATGTTCTCTCTCTCTCTCTCTCTGTCACACACACACACACACACACACACAAATGCCATTCAACTTTAATCTCTGTATTGTTCCAATTTTAATATATTTGCCACTGTAGTAAGCACATTGTTCAACCTTTAAAAAGACATTTTATAGCTGGGCACAGTGGTGCACACCTGTGATCCCAGTGGCTTGGAAGGCTGAGGCAGGAGGATCACGAATTCCAAGGCATTAAGGAACTCAGTGAGACCTTGTCTTTAAATAAAATACGAAATAGGGCTGAGGATGGTTAAGTTCAATGGTTAAGTGCCCCTGGGTTCAACCCCTGTTACCAAAAAAAAAAAAAAAAAAAAAAAAATTGTATTTGTTATAGCATGAACAGAATTGGATAGCATTATAATAAGGAAATAAGCAAGGCATAGAAAAGAAAACACCACATAATCTCACCTATATGTGGAATTTAAAATAGAACACAAAGAAGCAGGGAGTAGAAGAATGGTGGTTACTGGAGGTTAGAGGGTGGGGCAAATGAGGAATTGATGCTCAAAGGGGACAAAGCTTCAGTGAGATAGTTAATGCCAAGTAAATTCTCTTTGAGATATACTGCACAGTGTGGTGGATATATCAAATAACAGTGTATGGGGCTGGGGTCATGGCTTACTGGTAGAGCGCTTGCTTAGCACATGTGAGGCCCTGGGTTCAATTCTCAGCACCACATAAAAATAAATACATAAATAAATAAATAAAAGGTATTGTGTCCAACTACAATTAAAAAATAAATATTTTTTTTTAAAAAATAACAATGTATGGGACATTTCAAAATCTCTAAATTTCAAATGTTCTCATCTCAAAAAATAAGGTTTGAAGTAACCTTATTTTGGATATTCCAATTAACTTGATTTAATTACTCCACATCATATTTATTAATCCTAAAATCACATTGTACCACCTAAATATATACAACTATAATTTGCCAATTTATGATTAAAATTAGAGCAGACAGCTCTCTTTGCTTCTTGGCTGCCATGAACTGAGCAGCTTTTCTCCTCCACACCCTTCCACCATGATGTTCTGCCTCACCTTGGGACTAGAGCTATGGAGTCAGTGGATCATGCACTGAACCTCTGAAACCAAGTAAACCTAAGGAACTTATCCATGTTTAAGCCATCAACAAGAAGTTGAGGGATTTAAACTCCAGCTGAAAGTGCCACATATATTCCAGAACATCAGGAGCCTCCATACACCTTTCTGGTTTCATGAGGTACCAACCAAATAACATCCCTTGCACCTTAACCACATGCTGTCAAGACTGGCTTTGCCTTGTCAGGGATCCAGACTAGATTTAAGGACTTGTCACTGAGCGGATAATAGGAAAATGCTGTCTCATTAGAAGGGGAGACCCCAAATCAAAGCTTGCCTCGCTGAAAAGGACCAGCTGGAAGAAACCCAGCAGTCGGCACAGGGCCTGGCACATGGAACTACTCAAGTGATGAGACTTATATGAAAACACCATGCTTGACCTGTTTGCCTAAGGAGCAATATTTGGATTGTTTTCTGTTTCTGGCTGCCACATATACAGCTACTATGAATTTCTATGTCAGGTTTTTATATGAATGAATTTCAGGTTCCTATGCTACTTCAGAGCAACAGGTGGCATCCCTTCTCTTTAGAAAGAATGGCATTGTAGGGCAGGGCTGCTTTTACTTCAAGGAAGACAAAAGAACCTTTCTACGTGTGCAAAAGAATTTATCCTCAAGTAAAAAACTAAAACAAGTTTGGTCTAAAAGTTTTTCTGTATTTAGTGAATTGTAACGTAACTTGGTATGTAAATAGACCATTACCTGTTCTTCTAACAAGTAGCCAAGACTCAGCCAATCACAGTCACCCAACTGTTCAAGTCAGGTTCAAATAAAGCAAATGCCAAACTTTAACCAATTGAGAAATCTCTATCTTCACTTTCTACTTTCTGTATGTCACTTCCTTTTTTTTTCTGCCTATAAACATAACATGCATGGTAGGGCAGAACATTCAGAACCATTTTTGTCCAGACTGCTGTGCAATTCTAAAATCACAAAAGCAAATTAAGATATGTAAAACTAGATTTGTTTTAAACTAGATTTGTTGTAATTTTTCTTTTATCATAACATAACAAAACAAAAACAAATCTCAATATAATCAAGTAGGGTCTTTCTTTTCTTTTTCTTTTAGTACATCCCCAGCCCTTTTCTTTTTCTTTTTTTTTTGGGGGGGGATGCAGGATGGGGTTGGGGGGGGGTGCCAGGGATTGAACTCAGGGACACCCAACCACTGAGCCACATCCCCAGTCCTATTTTGTATTTTATTTAGAGACAGGGTGTCACTGAGTTACTTAGCACCTCCATGTTGCTGAAGCTGGATTTGAACTCTGGATCCTCTTTCCTCAGCCTCCCGAGCCGCTGGGATTATACATGTGCACCACTGTGCCCAGCATCCCCCAGCCCTTTTCATTTTTTGTTTTTAGACAGGGTCTAACAAAATTTCTTAGGGCCTTGCTAATGTGCTGAGGCTGCCCTCAAATTTGCCATCCTCCTGCCTCAGCCTCCTGAGATATTGAGATTACCGTTGGGCACCACTGTACCCAGCTTCAAGTAGAGCTTTAAATGGGAAATTTTTTTTGTTTTTGTAATACAAGACATGAATATCCAAGGATTTAATTAACATACAAATGCCCCTTACAGTCCAATCAGACGTATCTAACATTTCAGCTAGGCCTGGTGGTGCACACCTGTAATCCCAGCAGCTCTGGAGGCTGAGGCAGGAAGACCCCAAGTTCAAATGCAGCCTCAAAATTTAAGGACACCCTGTCTCAAAATATAAATAAGGAAAGTGGGAGCAGGGGATGTGGCTTTGTGGTATAGCACCCTTAAATTCAATCACTGGTATCATAAAAAAGAACAAAAGAGGTACTTATCATTTCAGGACTTTTTAGATAAGAAGATCCAACCCCTCATTTCAAACATTGTGGTGTACTGCAGGAAAGCTGGAGAGGCTTTTACTGACTCCAGTAACCCAGTGATGAGGAAACAGCAGATTAGCCTTTGCTAAGGACACAGAATGCTCTTGAGATAGAGGTTTATAAAGGAAATGTTGCCATTTACACAAGCCTCAAGCAGCACAAAATTCAGAAGTCTCAGCCTGTGTCACAGTGCACGCTTATAATCGCAGCAGCTAGGAAGGCTGAGGCAGGAGGATCGCAAGTTCAAAACCACCCTCAGCAACTTAGCAAGGCCCTAAGCAACTTAGCAATATCCTGTCTCAAAATAAAAAATAAAAAAGGGCTGGGGGAGGCTGGGGTTGTGGCTCAGTGGTACAGCGCTCGCCTAGCATGGGTGAGGCCCTGGGTTTGATCCTCAGCACCACACATAAATAAATAAATAGGGTTGGGGTCATGGCTTAGTGGTAGAGCGCTTACCTAGCATGTGTGAGGCACTGGGTTTGATTTTCAGCACCACATATAAACAAATAAATAAATAAAGGTCCATTAATAACTAATAAAAATATTTTAAAAAAATAATAAATAAATAAAAATAAAGGCATTGTGTCCACCTACAAGTAAAAAAAAGGAGGGTGGGGGTTGCTGGGGATGTGGATCAGTGGTTAAGTGCATGGGTTCAATCCCTGATACAAAAACGAAAAATTCAGAAGTCTCTGAAAAATGACTAAGTCATTCCCAATGACTAAGTGTCTTCCAATGACTAAGACTATCTCGTGTTAGAGAACATTTCCTATCTTCTGCCCTTGTCCCTCTTGGCCCAGCATCTATATTAGGTGTTCCTGCCACTTGTGGTTTCTGATTTAGCTCCACTTACTTAGTCCATCTTTTATTTCAGTACAGACACACTTAGTACAGGTTTTGTATCTGTGACAGTGAATAGATGAGAAGGTAGGTGTCCCTCTTGCTTTTCTCCCTTCCTTTCTCAACTTGTGCAACAGCTGTGTTCAATACATTCCACTATTTGGTAATTCGATGTGAATACAAACTGAAGTCTTGAGATGGCCAAAGGCCCTGCTCTCATCTCTTATCCCATCCCCTGGATGTTAGGATGGCCTCCCTTTGGTTCTTGAATGGGCCCAGGCACTCCTGCACCTCAGAGCTCCAAGTTTCCTCTGTCTGGACTGCTAGTCGCCTAGATATTTGCACAGTTGTTCCTCTCTTTGGGTCTTTACTTCAGAGTCACCTTCTCAGTGGGGCCTTTCTTGGCATCTAAAATCGCAGCTCCACTTCACTATTCTACTTCTCTCTTTTATTTTCCTCCTTAGCACCGAGGACCTTCTAATATGCTCTTTCATATTTTATTTAATTTTCAAATTATATTAATAAAATTGGGGCCAATAAAAAAGGGAAGCTAATACAAAGGTTGAGTGAAGCAGAGGGTGACTCCTTATGATCTGCTTCTCAATAGCTACGTGCCCTGAAATGTGAGGGCACCTGAACATTTTCCTTCTCCATAGCCCAAACCTGCTCCAAACGACTTCATGTAGAATGTAAGTTCTGTAAGGTGAGCAATTTCTGTCTGTTTAGTTCACACTGTATTCAGTATCTAACCCTGGATCTGAAACATAATCC